CCCTTTCATTTTGAAGAAATGATTTTTCCACTTGTATTGTTACAGTCACTCTGATGTTCATGGGTATGTTGTAGATAGGCTACCATAGACAAATTGTAACTGTTGAAAGTAGTAGCTAATGGGGCTGCTAGTGCCTGAAGCAGGGGCTAGATACCGCATTCACCTCATGTATTGTCTTCAACAAGGATGTAATTAGATTATTGCACATAGTTGTGGTTTCATGGGCAGCCTTTGGTAATCAGGCTACAACCTGGGGGGGACAAACAATGAAGGCCCATTTCAGCGCCCTGCAAGGCTCGCGTAACACCGCGCAGACTCTGGGAAGTTGCTCTTCGTGCAAATCAACAGCAAGCTAGCCAGTTGGAAATGTGCACACTTACTTACAGAAGGTACTGGAGGCTGAGAGTTCCTCTGCAGGTCTGCCAACTCACGCTGCATTGGACAACGCCCCTGCCTGGCGCATGCGCGAGGTCACGGATGCTGAGTAAGCAGCAAATGGCGTTGTTCAGTGTCGACCATGGAAGAGCTCCATGATCTACCGTAGTGACTAGCGGCAAGAAAGAAACGATCGCTTGATGTCCGTGCACACCTCCGGCGAAATTGGAGACCTTCAGTGAAAAAATCAGTGCTTGAACTGGTACTGGTAAGGAGATAGCGGGTTTAAAGAAGAAGAAGAAGAAGAAGAAGATGAAGAATATGATGACACGAAAATCGTGAAATCGCGTATGAGCGAATTCTCGCGTGGACGACTGAAGGTGCGTATGAGCTCTTGGGGGACATGTATAGGTAGATATGGGCCCGTAGACTATTGCTAGTATGTTTTGAAGGCCTAGGAAGTGATTCTCACCGAGTTTTTAGTCGTTTTGTACGCGGATCACGTGAGATTTCACCCGTGTCATCCCTATATAGAGAGTCTACCGACTCTCTAATACACACATCAATTTCATACCCTGGATGACGTAATACTGCATAATCACGCAAAGAAATTTGTGTTGCATTGTTTTCGCAGCGGAGTATTACGATTGAAAAATCATCATTTGAACTAAGTGAGCTGGTAATGGGATCAGACTATCAAATGTACACGGTCATAACATTATATGGTATATACTTGTGTTGTTGTGTAATGTTATGACCTAATTGTGTTGGTGGATTGGTCAGTCTATTTGTAATGTTTGTACACATCTTATTAAATGGTCAAAACCCCTCCCCTCTCTCTCTCCCTCTCTGCATCTCTCTTACGTATACAGTTGAACCAAAGCAAGGGACACTATGGAACAAACACTCTTGTCCCTTGTAGAGAGGTCGTCCATACCTCGGAGGTCAAATATTACACTAAAGTATTAGCATGTGGTTGTCATTTGTAGAGAGGTCGTCCCTATCTTGGAGGTCAAATAATACACTGAAGTATTAGCATGGGATTGGTAATGCATGCAAATTGAGTTTTCATTAGTATTACTATAAGTGTGGCTCCCCTTTGGTTAAACGATTACTGCATGGTTTTAAGGGCTCTGCTAGGGTGGCCACATTTTCATTAGTGATTATTGGAGATAATTACATGGAAACTCACATATCCCAGGTAGGGGTAAGAGCTCTCTGTGCAGATGCCCTCATTGTCCATGATGTATCTGTACGAATATAACATGTGTCCGCCATTGCAGCCTGCATTTCCGTAGCTCCAGCTGCAGTCAATTAACTGCTGCTCACTCAGGGATTTCCCCTTCCTCCCTGTCTTCTTGAAGAGCTGTCCCTCGACTGATCCGGCTGCACTGAAAGCCCACGAAGAGGCACAATAGCCCTGGCTCTTCACCTGAGTGGATAATGTCATTATATAAAGAGCCGTCAAAAAATTTCAAGGAAGAGTAATTTGCCGCAAAACTTTGTAATTGACCACCAAATTGTATAGTGAAATTTTTTTCTTTCTCTTTTTTTTGCTGTATGTCAGATGGAACAATAATGTGCCTTATATAGTGTGCATGCGCATATGTCACACGAAGGTACACTTTGCTTACACATTTACACACTATAATGCTGGATGTATTTTTTTACCTGTGTATACATAAGTAGTTCAAAGCATGTTGTTTACAGTCGCTTCAAATTATTATGTCTTGTTGACTTAGTTACAACATAAGGCTCCCTTAGGACAGTGAAAAATAGTTTTCCTGGTTTTCATAAGGCAATATTGTTGGTCTTACGGGAGAGACGAATCCTTTCTCTCTCCAGTCCAGAGAGTAAGGGTAGCTGACGGTCCCTGAGTGGACGTGTTCCTCAACCTCCATCTCCCCACCTCTCTCTCCCACCTCACTGGTTGTCATGGGTGTCAGGAATATCCTCTCAAATTCCTCGTTTGTCTAAACAGGAAATACCAGAGAAAACACTACTTCAGTGTTGTTATGCTACATGTGTGTTCAATGCTACTGTAGCATATGCTATTCAACATAATTATGCTATAATACATGTGTGTTCCAAATGCATGTCGATTTTCCAACCTACGCGATTGACCTGGGTTGTCAGGCTAAAGTACTATGTGCTTATGTCTAAGTATTGATCATGAAATTCTATCTTGTTTACAATTCCGTACTGTACTAAGCGATCTGAAGGATAACGAATAAAAATCAAGAAAGGAGGGAGGGAGAAGGAACAGTATTAACAGATGTATAATATCTGTTGTGTTGTTTAAGAAGTGAAGAGCTTACCAGATCAGCAAACATATTGAGTCCAAGTTGAAAGGTGTGGTTTCCACTGTTGTGCTCTTGGATGGCGTGATAGTTGTCCTCCCAGACCTTCCTCTTGGCCTCTTCCTGCACCGAGCTCTTGTAGACCCTCCCATGTCTCGTCTTCCATGTCTTCCACTCTGAGTCCAGCAGGAGTGAACACAGAGCAATGTGAACCAGAGAGATTAGGAGAGCAGCAGCACACAACGTCCTCCACATGGTTCAAAAAAGTCTCCTTGCCGAGTCAGAGACAGCCGTGTTGGTTCTGTAGTTGAGTTTGCTCCCTTTATATACCTCGACCTCTTTTGACCAGTCTGTATATACAAGTGTATAATTCTTTGAAGCTCCTAAGTGGATGAATGGAGAGTTTAAGTGGTCTCTTCTTTTTTAGCTAAGCAAGTTTCCCGAGTGACCGTTTTCGTGGGGATGTGTATGCATACAAGCTGGCAATGTTAGAGAGAAAGAGTGGCTGTGAGAGCTGTTGGGAGCAAACACACTAATGCATTCTGAGTGGTTTTTTTTTTCTAGATGGTTGTTGGTTAAACTCTGTTGTTGCCTGCATTGTACATCCCATTATGCCACTACCAGAAGTCATTAGAGCCAATTATATAGTGACTTTATAATGTGGTCAGCACCATAGTGTTAATGATACTAATTGAGGTTCATTTTTGTGACATTTTTTGCCCAAGGAAGCCCATTTTGGGACAGCATCTATCTGAGTTCCTAATCAGGGACTATGTGAGTTCCTAACCAGTCAGGGCCCACTATAGCCCACCATGAGTCCTATGGTTCAGTGATAAACGCAAGGGCTGCCTAACTTGGGAACCAGGGTTACTAATATACTGTACATACTGTACATGTTCTGATCAAATAAAGTACATGTACTGATCAAGCATAGTACATGTTCTGATCAGGTGCAGTACATGTTCTGATCAAGTATAGTACATGTTCTGATCAAGTATAGTACATGTACTGATCAAGCATAGTACATGTTCTGATCAGGTGCAGTACATGTTCTGATCAAGTATAGTACATGTTCTGATCAAGTATAGTACATGTACTGATCAAGCATAGTACATGTTCTGATCAGGTGCAGTACATGTTCTGATCAAGTATAGTACATGTTCTGATCAAGTATAGTACATGTACTGATCAAGCATAGTACATGTTCTGATCAGGTGCAGTACATGTTCTGATCAAGTATAGTACATGTTCTGATCAAGTATAGTACATGTACTGATCAAGCATAGTACATGTTCTGATCAGGTGCAGTACATGTTCTGATCAAGTATAGTACATGTTCTGATCAAGTATAGTACATGTACTGATCAAGCATAGTACATGTTCTGATCAGGTGCAGTACATGTTCTGATCAAGTATAGTACATGTTCTGATCAAGTATAGTACATGTACTGATCAAGCATAGTACATGTTCTGATCAGGTGCAGTACATGTTCTGATCAAGTATAGTACATGTTCTGATCAAGTATAGTACATGTTCTGATCAGGTGCAGTACATGTTCTGATCAAGTATAGTACATGTTCTGATCAGGTGCAGTACATGTTCTGATCAAGTATAGTACATGTTCTGATCAGGTGCAGTACATGTTCTGATCAGGTGCAGTACATGTTCTGATCAAGTATAGTACATGTTCTGATCAGGTGCAGTACATGTTCTGATCAGGTGCAGTACATGTTCTGATCAGGTGCAGTACATGTTCTGATCAGGTGCAGTACATGTTCTGATCAGGTGCAGTACATGTTCTGATCAAGTATAGTACATGTGCTGAGCAAGTATAGTACATGCATGTAACAATTATTTTGATGAGCTTGCGTAGCATTAACTTTAAAGAAGATGTTGTTTCATACCTTTCGGTCCGTAGACCTTCTTCAGTGGACTGCACAACTAAGATGGTTACAGAATTTAAAGGAAAAAAGGTGAAAAATTGGCTAAGGGCTGTGGCCAGAAAGGAGCAACAACAGTTTACGTGTTGGCAGCCTGAGTTGATGTTTCTGAGGTTGAGGTTATATGTGTGGCGTGTAATGCTGGCTTCCAGATGTCGCTCAGGTTGAGACCACAGTCCAGGTTCATAGTCAGTCTCTCTTGGCGGATCACAACCGCTTCCAGTACTCTTCTTTCCCACAGTCTGGACGAAAGCATTTTTACACTTGCTGACTCCCAATCAATAACATGATTAGTTGACCACACATGTACAGATATACCGCTGTTCTTATCCTGACGTTTGATGGCATATTTGTGCTCTGAAATCCTTTTATGTAGTGTTCGACCAGTTTCACCTATATAAACGTACTCACAGTCCTTGCATGGGATACAATAGACGACTCCTCTCTTCCTCTCTGTGGTAACTGGTGTTTTAACATGCACTAGAGACTGGCGTAATGTATTGGACGACTTGAATACCGGCTGAATGCTAGGATCAATAGAGTGGCACAGGTGTTCGGATTTTCTCAGCTACGCCACGAACATATGGAAGATACAGAATATTTTTCTGTTTTTTCTCATGTGTGTGTATCACATCTCTTTTACGATGGTTGGCTCTCATACTTTTTAGGATTCGTGGATAGTCATTTGCCACAAATACTTCCTCCAGGTGTTTCATTTCCCCGATATCTTCTTGACGGGTGACAAATTCTCTCCGCTCTCTGTTTTAGGCCTTTTAGTACCCTCCTCCGATGATGGTGAGAGTTGAAATTGATGTAGCGATTGGTATGCGTCTCCTTCCTGTGAACTGATGTATAGAGTTTGGAATGTGATCTCTTGGACTAGTACATCAAGGAATGGGATTTTTCTGTTTGCTTTCGTCCAGACTGTTGGAAAGAAGAGTACTGGAAGCGGTTGTGATCCGCCAAGAGAGACTGACTATGAACCTGGACTGTGGTCTCAACCTGAGCGACATCTGGGAGCCAGCATTACACGCCACACATATAACCTCAACCTCAGAAACAGTCAACTCAGGCTGTCAACACGTAAACTGTTGTTGCTCCTTTCTGGCCACAGCCCTTAGCCAATTTTTTCCTTTTTCCATCTTAGTTGTGCAGTTCACTGAAGAAGGTCTACGGACCGAAACGTACGAAACAACATCTTTTTTGAAGTTAATGCTACGCAAGCTCATCAAAATAATTGTTATTAGTATCGTAGCAATGAGTCTCTATAGAATTATAGTACATGTACTGATCAAGCATAGTACATGTACTGATCAAGTATAGTACATGTACTGATTAAGTAAAGTACATGTACTGATCAAGTATAGTACATGTACTGATCAAGTATAGTACATGTACTGATCAAGTATAGTACATGTACTGATCAAGTATAGTACATGTATATACTGATCACATGTTCTGTACATGTACTGATCAGGTACAAATGTTCTGTACAATACAAAACATTAGGTACAATGTGTTGTTACACGTACCTACTCTTGATTTACCCGACTCTGACTCAAGTCTCACATCTGATCATTATCCACATATCCACATATATAATATACTATTGGATAATGTAATGAGTTGAGTACAGATGCAATCTCACGTAACCCGGATTCCTTAACGCATGATCGACCCTGATACTCTAGCCCACCACCAACCCAGTGATTTTCTACACACAGGAAGTTGAGAATAGTGCATGCTGGTTCAATAGAGTACAGTAGAGCCTCATAATAACTATTATACACGATGAGAAAACCCTGCGGCGCGCCACTAGCTGCAATAGTAATGCGCATGCGCACAAATCTCGCCAGGGCCGCAACAAGATAACAAGCTAAATTTCCCTCAGATTAGACACAAAAACCCGCCGCTGTTTGCAATAAAATGCGGTTATACGTTATTGTGGTTGATGGCTGGTATTTAAAGCCAGCCCGTAGGTAGCAGACCTGCAGCGACGTCGAGATGAAGTTCCAAATCACAATTGTTTTTGCGGCGTTCGCAGTGTGCGCAACTGCGGAAGACCTGCAGAGTCGGGTGAAGCGCATGTACGGCGATCGTGCAGGATTTGCCGAACTGTGGAGTAGGCTCGGTGCAGAGCTAATGAGTAACCAGGACGGAGCAAATGCTAATGAAAAAGGTAACCGCTTGCGCGCGCAGCTGTGCTGCCTCCATCGATTGTTCTGTTGCAAAATTTGTTTTTGTGCCGCTTTCTCATTGTTTTGCGTGTAGCTATAGGATGTGTAATCTAATGCAAATGCCTGCTGTTGCTAAAGTTCGAAAATCAAGCTATTATTCTTTTGTGAGGTAACCCAACTGCGCGCGAAAGGCTCTATTACGTCACACTCCAACTGCATGCACACTGCGTTGCGTTCGCTGTGTTGTTTTCTGCAGGCTACGATCTAAACTCGCGATGTGCTGTGAACTTGGAACGTTTTTCTAGATTTGCCGTTTATCGTGTATATTATACGCGTACGTTGTACTTGGCGTAGATACGAGCAGCGCAGTTGCCTGGGCTCGAATAGTGTTCATATAGTTTCAGTGTCCTGTGTTACCGGTTTTTATGCAGCAAATTTCTCATTTGATTCTTGCAGCAATAATTTCTTTTCTGGAGGGAATGTTGCCTGCGGAGTCCAGTCGTGTTAACAATGACCTTGCAAGTGAAGAGTCTGAAGGTGAGGGCCGATCCACATGCATGTGCAGTTACTACGTGTTTTTGGACTTTCATGGAAGATAAGAAGTACAGACACGTTTTAATAACTAGGCAATAAAATTTTTAACATTATTCACTGAGCCTTATTGCCATCTAGCTAGCACCATTATTTTCTGTTAGCTATGTACCGACACATTCCTTTTTTGATGTGCACTAGCTAAATGTGTTTTCAATAATGCCGCTATATACACAGACACACCTATAAATGTGTCCATAAGAATTTATGTATAGTACTATAATATAGGCACTAATACTTTATACATGATTCTGTTTTTTTAAGGACCCATGGTGTCCAAAGGGTTTATATTGCAAGCAAAATGGGTTGTATAATAAGTAAAGCTGGAGGGGAGGGTTCCGCTTCAGTTTTTTAAACCTTACGAGGATGTTTTACATTTCAGAGTGTTACAGCCTGATGTCGGTAAGAGCCAAAACGGGTGATGGCATATATGATGGTCAGGGCGGCTCTGGGAACCCAAAGTTGGAGGTGCTACTAACAAACGGTCAAAAGTATCGTGCAACACTAACCGGCAATAAAAACAGAGGCTCGTACGTCGTTCGTGAGTTCGAAATAGGGCGAGATTTTCAATACGGGAGCAACTGCTGGACCCGATCCCAGATAGCAGGCGTGGCTTTGGTGGCAGGTGGTAATAATGGTTGGTTTGTAGTGTCTTTTGCAACCTATCTCGCAAACCCGGAAAAACCTCATGTGAAACTCACTTGTGACCCACATTTCAATAAATGGGTCGACGGCAATGATAGATACCCTTACGATGCCACATACATTAATCTCAACCTCTTTGAATCCATGCCTGCAGAACATCACTGCATAACTCGTGTCAAGATCGAGGTTCAAACTGCGACGAATTATTACTCTGGATTTGGATGGAAACCCCATCATATTCAGCTTGTCCTTAGAGACGGTGCGGTAATAGAAGGTGACCTCAAGGGCCCTGCAAAACGTGGGTCTCCTTACGCAAGGGAATTGAGCTTGGAGCACGATTTCTCTGCCTGGTGCCGCTGCGTGAAGAGATCCGATATAGAACATGTTAAACTAGTAGCCGGTAATAATGATGGATGGCTTATTTCGTCAATAAAAACACACTATTTTACTAAAGAAGTTGGGGCCTTCAAAGAGCTTACTAGCGATCTGAACTTTAACAAGTGGCTGGATGGGGACGAAAAATATGCTTACGATGCCACTCAGCATTTTCTGTCCCTGTCTCCTTTTATTGATACGCCGACTTGCGGCTACGGTGTCCCTGTGTGTGAATGTGCAGAAGGTGCTACGGCATGCATCTTTAATCTTGAAATTGATGAAATGATGACCTTTGCCAGCTACCAGAAGTTTGGTATCGGTGTGAACGAAGGGCTGTTTGTGCGAGGCAGGGAAGGTGTGATGTACTATGTTAATGCTACAGGAGAAGTGGTACCTCATCCAACGCATGCAACCAGAAAATGTGCGATAGACTACAATGAAAACGATTGCTCGGAGCCACAGCTTGTGGACGGGAAGACGTTTCGAATGGTCATCGGAGTAAATGGACAGGTCCCAGGACCAACTCTCATAGTTCACGATGGACAGAAGGTAACAATCCACGTCCATAACAATATGACTACCGAGGGCATATCCATCCACTGGCACGGGATGTATCAGATGGGGACACCGTGGATGGACGGTGTTGGTCAAGTCACACAGTGTCAGATCGGACCGTCCTCCAGTTTCTCCTATATGTACCTGGCTCGCCCTTCTGGAACATTCTGGTACCACTCGCACAGTGGTGCTCAGAGAACCGACGGCTTTTTCGGAGCTCTGATTGTGAAGGAGACCAAACAGCATCATAGCACGGTCAAAACGGAGCTCGCCAAGTTTGGGGTGCGAGATTATGAAGACTTCCCGACAAGCACACTCTAACGCTCATTGACTGGCACAAGGAGGCTGCATTGGACACTTTCACTCAAAGTGATGCCGGACTTGGTCTGTTTCCACAGCTGCCCATTGGGCAGCTCCCACCTCCCACAGCTACACCATACAGAATAACTCTTGGCTACGAAAGCGCTGCAGTTGGTCCATCACCGTTCTTCTCTGGACTCATCAACGGGAAGGGGAGACATGAAGACGTGCCTTACGCAGCGACAAGGCTGAGCGTCTTTACCGTTGAAGAGGGTCATAGGTACAGGTTCAGACTGGTAGGTGTTCAAGGAAGCTACGCCTATAGGTTCTCCATTGACGGACACAAAATGACAGTGGTCAGCACAGACGGTTTCTGGATCAAGCCACAGGAAAACGTGGACTACATCATCATACACACTGGCGAGAGATATGACTTCATCCTTGAGGCAAATGCACAGTTTGGTAACTACTGGATTCGAGCGGAGACATTGGAAATCATGCACCAAGGATCAGGTCCACCATACAAGTCGCTCGGACATGTAGCAGAAGGGATCCTGCAATACAAGAGACAAAATCAGGAAGCCCCCGTCATTAAGTCGACTGAATACGAAAGCATCAAGATGGACTCCCCGCAACGAGAATGCACCTATGCCGACAGGTGTAAAGCAGTCAACTGTCCGTTCAAGAATTTCCACGGAGCTTACTTCATTGATTGCATTAACGTGGATCAGTTCCAGATGCTATTACCCACACCACCTGAAGAATTGCCCGACTCAAACCCATGTACTGAAGAAGGCTGCAGGCACTTTATAAACTTTAACTTTGAAGGTCATTCGAGGAGAGCATCTGCAAACGGCCGCGGCTTCCTCCTCCCTCCAGCTCCACCCATGACACAAAACGAATCGTTCCACGAGCAAGCTTTCGAGTGTGACGTCAACGAAGAGTGTAATCCTCCGACACTCGCCTGCCTGTGCACTCACAGGATCACAATCCCCTACCAGAAAACTGTCCAACTCGTGTTCTCATCACTTGGTCTTTCAACGCCGTCCACCCCATACATTTGCACGGGCACACGTTTCACGTCGCAAAGATTGGATACCCAGAGTACGACCCTGCCACCGGGTTCATTAAGAAGGATAGTAATGGTGTGCCGGTACACAATTCGGACATTACCTGCGACGACAAGATAAGGTGCAGTCTACCAGGTTCAGAGTGCGATCCGTTAAAGTGTACAAAGCCACGGTGGACGAACCCAACCCATCCCCCCATCACTACTGTTCACGACCGCACCGTTCGCAAAGACACCGTCATGGTCCCGGCCGGTGGGTACGTCGCAATCAATTTCAAGTCCGACAACCCTGGACAGTGGTTCCTTCACTGCCATATCGAGGACCGCCAACTCCAGGGAATGGCACTCATTGTCAATGAAGCTCCGGAAGAACAGAAAAAGTTTATGATTCCAGATGAAATGAACAAATGCGGAGATTTCACGTTGACAATGGAGGAATATGAACATCTGCGAAGTATGCCTGGCCTCTATCCTGCACACCAGAGCAGTTATTTCTTATCCTCCACATTATGATCCTTATCAACGTTTTAGTGGATAAAAGTGAAGACAATTGGAATGGTACATGGTTTGACATTAGTGTTAGCTATACTGACACTAATTTGACAACTCATTTCACACATGGTTTGACATTAAAACTGATACTAATTGAGGAACTCTTTGTACATGTATAAGTAATTGTTTTGGAGTCAGTTATATATTCTTCATAAATCAGTGCGCATGCATATGAAGGGCTGCAGCACACATGAAAGCCATACCTCCTAGTTGGTTGAAGCTAGTTCAAGAAAGAGAAATAAGAAATACAATAATAATTTTTTGACAGATCATTTCTATAATTATATTATAGACCAAGCCTAAACGTCGCATGACGTTTAGGCTTGATCCAAAAATAGTAGTTCTGAGACAAATGGCACTTCTTCGTGTTCGAGGGTTAATTATACATACGTCTTTGAGGGTTCGTAACAAAGTAAATATTTGAAGGGTGGTTACATCAGCATAAAATTTATAGCTAACAGAAAGTATAAAGTGCTATCGTGTTCTAAAGAGCTATTTCAACAGAAGACGTACGTCCCTCTTGTGTGTCTCCTCCACACACCATCAGTGTGTTGTTAGGAAGAACTGCTGCAAAACAGTAGTTTCGCTTCACCTTCATCTGGCTGACTACTTTCCAAGAGTTGGTGATTGCATCATATTGCATCACGTCAGATGTGGAATCAGCATTTCTCCGTGTAGTCGATCCTCCTACTGCCAGTAGCTGGCCTTGGAAGGTGACGAGAGAAGACATAACCACTGGAAGTGGAGCAACTTCTTTCCACACTGGAGGACTACTGGAGAGACCTGGTCTGGTGGCTAGTGACTGTGGCTGTGACTGGAGGAGGTCTTTCACCTCACACATTACCACTGACTTGGTTGCACCCCCACCAGTACAAAACCCACCACCAATATAGAGTCTGTCCCCACAGATGGTGGGTATTTGCCTGCCAGAGAGGATGAGGTAGACTGGCTACTGTGGACCATTGTAGTGTCCGTATGTCCATAATCTCTACTGGTGCCTTCTCCTTGTCTGGACTCCATCCTCCAGCTACTATCAGTTGATGTGTTGGTGGTAGCGACTGCTGGGCCACTGCGACAGTATGTCATTGGTGGAAATTGTTTAATCCACTTCTGTTGGAAGGTGCCTAGTCTTTTCTGTGGGAGATTGAAAAGAGTGTTTGTGGCTTTGTCTATTTTACTCCCTCCAATTGCTGTCAGTTGTCCATTCACTACTGCTATGGAGGAGAACTTTCTGGGGCATTCTGGAAGAACTGTCCATTGCCCTGTCCTTGAGTTGAACATCAGCACTTTATGGCTGCCTATACTCCCATCACGACAGTAGACCATCTCTCCACCCACTGCTACTCAATATCCGAAGGTTGCAAACGGAGCTGGTGGTCCATCCCTCCACTCCAGTTTCAGAGGTCCTGTGGCCACACCACTTCCCTCCCTCTCCCTCACTCTCTGCTGCAGTTCTCGTATCTCTCTCTCCTTCTCCTGCAGCAACTCATCCTTTGCCCGAATTACTGCATCTTTCTGCTCCACACTCTGTTGTAGAGCAGCCACAACCTGTTCATTCTCTCGTCTACTGGCTTGAAGTGTTCGATTCTGTTGTTGAAGTTGCGGATTTTCTTCATCTTTCCGCTGAGTTTGGTGTTGAAGTTGCTGAACTAGTTTATCTTTCTGTTGTATGCTTCTGGCTTGCTCTTCATTCTGCAGTGTCAGTTGCTGCACTTCTCTGGTGAGGTCTTCAACTCTCGACTCACTCTCCTTCGGTTGTTGCTCTAGTTCTTGGTCTCTGGCAGGAGGTGCCTGACCTGTCGTCTCCTCTGGGGTCTTCTGGAGGTTGTCTCGGTAGGCAGAACTCTCCTTCAGAGCAATCAGGCGAGAGCACAGCTGCTCGGCCGTCGGTCTCTGACCTTCCTTGTCTTTGAGGCAGTCCAGGGCTACCTCCAGGAGAGGGTGTGTGGAGGAGATGAGATCCAGGTGCTCCTTACGACGTTCCAATTCAGGAGTAACAACATGCACTCGTCCTGAAGGGACACGACGATCGCTTATTTGTATTATGTGCATACGAGGGCCTGGGTTGGGCCACTTTCGAGTGATGAGCTGAACAAAGAGCACACCACAGGAAAAGACGTCCAGTTTGCTGGTGTATGTCGGGGGATCTGCCAGTGCCTCGGGAGACATGTAGGCATTGGTTCCGGGGCAGAAGGTTGGAGTGAGGCGAGGGTCGCTGCCCAACAGCTTGGCCATGCCAAAGTCGGTCACCTTGGCTCGCCGGCTGCCGATCAGGAGGACGTTGTTGCTGCTGAGGTCGCGGTGCAGCACCTCATGGCGATGAAGGTGGGAGAGAGCCTGTGCCACGTCGTGGGCAATGTCCACCTGCACGTGGAGAGGGAGAGGGAGAGGGGGAGGGTCTGCCGGCCGCTCCAGGAAGCTGGTCAGGCTCTCGTCCATCAGCTCCATGAACAGGACGGGCATTCGAGTCTCCGGGTCCGCACATGACCCTAGGTACTGGATGATGTTGGGGTGCCTCAGGCCGCTCAGGAAGTCGATCTCTCGCTGGAAGCGCTCCACGATGCGGTAGGCGGCGGGGTCCCTGGTCTGGAAGAGGATGGGGTGCAGGACTTTGGCGGCGCAGACGAGCTGGTCACACTTGGCCCTGTAGACTGCTCCGTACGAGCCATTCCCTAGCGAGTTCTCCTCCGACTTCACCAGTCGGACGTTGCGGAAGCCAAAGCGACCTTGGAGTCGTAGTTGCTGAGCCATTTTGACAAACAAACCGAGCTATGTATTAGTTAACGTATAGGCGGTATAGGGTATATATACTCCGGACGAGGACAGGAGCCTGCGGTATAGTTAACAGCGAGACGCCTGACGTTAACTGACTTTGTAGTCCAACTAGCCAATCACAATGCTGAATTTCTGCTCCGTCATCCTACTCATGTACTAATGATTGTTGTGTAAACTTTGGAAGCCAGACAATTTGCACTTCGCCTTTGTGGATAAGGACTCAGCCCACAGCTCATTAACCCTCAGCGCGCGGGTTACTGTAGTCGTCTGTGTGTCTACGACTATTCTCGCACTACAGGCTACGAGGTGCGATACCAACAGCGTTGGCGGTACATGGGCTAGAAAAATAAAATGGCGATTTTGCTGAAACACGGTCGCGGACAGCGTTGCGTGGCCCAACCACCCATCAATAAGCGGTGCGCATGCGCGTATTAGACGCAGTATATATGCAGGCTCACCTCGCCCTGATCCGCTTGCTCTGTGTACCTTGGAGGCACAAGAAGCCACAGCGAAGGGTGTGTATCGACTCCCGCATGCTATCTACTACTGTAGCTAGCCAGTGTCAGACTCTCCGCAAGCTACTGCGGGAGACCGCGAGTGAACGCCGTAGCCCAGCCCGACCATCCATTAGCGGTATATATACCGCGCATCGCAGTTCGCCGAGGGTTTGCACTTTCATTAGGATTGGACTACAAATGTAGGTGGAGCCAAATTCCTAGATGACTGAGCAGCGACAGTCGTCTACAGCTAGCTACGCATCTACTAGGAATGCGCACGCGCATATTTTGCCTCGGCCATGCCGCCAATAATGCCCGACTGAGGCCGCTCGTGCGCGCGCTCTACTGACTGCGCGCGAAGCCAGAATATGCGCGAACGGCGGAAGCTAGAATTCCTACGAATGACGGAAGTTACACTTCCTGAGCGTGACTAATTGACATTCTTAAGCGTGACGACACGTACGTACGCATATCGCGAGAATACAACCCGGAGTAGTTGCCTCACGCTAACGCGCTCGGCAATTATGTGAATGACCCCAGACTTGAATGCCATTGTCCATGGGAAGGGACCACAGGTACAACTATATACTATGGAGCCAGTGCCTCAGAGGTTGAGGTGGACACTCTGACTGGAGACTTCACCATCCTGCGCAGTGATCTGGTCATGGATGTCGGTGACAGTCTCAACCCTGTCATTGATATTGGCCAGGTAACTATAGGTACTAAATCACTTCCACAGCAGTTACCAGTAGTTAGTACGAGACTTAACAAGGTGGCGCTTTTCTCAGGTATCAATAGCATACGAATGGCATTGTTCCCACTTCAGGAATGTTATTCTTCCCATGAACAGGTAGAGGGAGCCTTCACTCAGGGGTTGGGTCTGTTCACAATGGAGCAGTGTGTGTATCTGGAGGGAAATGGTCGGACTCAGCGAGGCCAGCTCTACACCACTGGACCTGGTACCTACAAGATCCCAGCCGTCTCTGATATCCCTGTCCAACTCAATGTCACTCTCCTGGATGGAACCAGCAATCCTCAGGCCATCTTCTCTTCAAAGGTGGCTCCACAGTTCCAACACAGTTTCACAAGTTGGGCCAAGATAGAAAAGCTGCTTTTAATAAATGAAAGGATAAAGCTTTAAAGTGGCCATCTTATCTTCAAAGGTGTGAGCATGTGCCAATAACAAGGTGGAAAGGCAAGGGTTCAGCCAACAAGTCAACTGCACCCAGGACAGCCTCTTTGCCCTGGGTGGGATTTGAATCCACGACACTGCATTCTAAGCGAGGGCTCAACGAACTGAGCTAACCAGTGCCTATAGCAGTGTGGTCCAAACTTAAACTTCTGTTGTTCAATATCACTACCTGGCTGTAGGTGAGCCTCCGCTGTTCCTGGCTGCCAGTGTCCTGTCTGCCATTAGAGATGCAGTGAGAGCCAGTCGGGCAGAGAGAGGAATCATTGCTCCCTTCCAGCTGAACACTCCGGCCACTTGCCATCAGAATGGCCTGTGAAGACCAGTTCACTCAACATGTACGACAGACCAATCACATTATACCGTCCCTTGAAAATGTTCCGTAACCATTAAACGCGCTATCCACTTGCTGCAGGCATGTAAAGGCTTCAAGGACACATCAAAATGACGGACTTTGGTTGTTTGAAAATGTACACAAGTTTTCTATTAGTTGTGACATGACTGTAACTATAGCCTTCAAAAGACCATACGTATGGCTTTCGGGTGACACATTGATTGTGGTGAAGAATTCTGACAATGTCATTAACTGGTGCATCTGCTACGCCTGGGTGTGCGTGAACGTTACGTGAACGTCGCATACAGCAGTTCAAAGGTCTTTCCGCTCGCCAAAAATACTCATTCTAGTAACTACAAGTAAATTAAAAATCCTGCGAATTTAAAAAAAGAGGCATATAGGGATGGTATAAAAAGAAAGGGAGACAAGATAGGGATTGGATACATGAAGCATGGTCAATGAACAGATTTGAGTACGCTGACACCCCCAACCCCATCACACCATCCCTATATTGTTGCCTGTGCTACTCTTATAGGGGCTAAAGGTTACTAAAAGCAAGCATTCTTTCACTGTGTCCTTGTTGTTTTTAGTAACATTTATACTGCCACATTTCCTTTAATTAAACTCCACTTGGACTGTGTGCGTGAAACGTCGTGTACAGCAGTTCAAAGGTCTTTCCGCTCGCAAAAAATACTCATTCTAGTAACTATAATGTGTAGTGCCATTTTCGTTGCTTATTCCCTTACAGCAAAATTTTTCACTGAAAAGTAAAGATTGCTCAAAATGATCATGCCTGAGAATTAAAATTCCAGCTTCAAAGCCTTTCGATACAATTTGTTGGGTCTCTAAGAACAACTAAACAGTCAAAATTGATTTATGGCACAAGAATTGTGACAAGTTATATAATCCTTATTAATGATAATGACAGGGTACTATGAGAAGAGCCTTGCGTAGGGATAGCAGGGAGCTGTTGCCACTCCACACATGTTGTTCATGTTTCGAGCAATCCTCATGTAGCCATTTTCACCCCAATACTCTCCCCAACTGCAGAATAGAATGTCCAGTGTACATGTTAATGATATTATTATTATGCTCTGTTTAAAGGACACGCTGGGACAGTGAAAATGCAGAGGTGTCCTTTATTCAGGGGTTAAATACCGGATTGAAAAACAAGTGTACTTTATAGAGAGGTGTCCTTTCGTCGCATCCTTTGTAAGAGGTTCAACTGTACAGTGGAATCATATAGGACACCTGGATGCAGTTGTTTTGATTTGGTACTATATATGCAATATCGGAAAACCTGAAATTTGACAGTCTTGTCTTTTACTTACGGTTTCACTGTATATAGTATGTGTGTTCTAACAAAAACCTATCTATGCTAGTCATTAGTCTTGCCTGTTTTTCAGAACCCAGTAAGTTTGGCCACTGTTGGAGGTTCCATAGCCCACCAGTAGCATGGCGTGGTTCAGTTTGGAGCTGCTGCAGCTGTAGTCCACGTAGAGCCCTCCAGAGTAGAACTGGAACTCGTAGCTGTTGGAGTCCAAATTCACACTGCGTGTGCATGTGTCAACAAAGTGAGGTAGCAGGGCAATCACGAATTTGTGTTCATGTGTATGTGTGTGCATAAACAGTAGCAAGGAACAATTGTTAGAATGAAAAATGGACATTCTCATTCATCCCGATCTCTATAGGACCCAGGACCCACTATCATTTTCTGCATCTTCTCACACATCACATCTCAGACATACATAATATTATTCTGTACATGCATGAGCACAAAACCAACAGCAAGAAACATTTTAACTTTGAAGGTCATTCGGGGAGAGCATCTGCAAACGGCCGAAGCTTCCTCCTCCCTCCAGTTCCACCCGTGACACAAAACGAATCGTTCCACGAGCAACCTTTCGAGTGTGACATCAACAAAAAGTGTAATCCTCCGACACTCGCCTGCCTGTGCACTCACAGGATCACAATCCCCTACCAGAAAACTGTCCAACTCGTGTTTTCATCACTTGGTGGTATCAACGCCGTCCACCTCATACATTTGCACGGGCACACGTTTCACGTCGCAAAGATTGGATACCCAGAGTACGACCCTGCCACCGGGTTCATTAAGAGAGATAGTAATGGTGTGCCAGTACACAATTCGGACATTACCTGCGACGACAAGATAATGTGCAGTCTACCAGGTTCAGAGTGCGATCCGTTAAAGTGTACAAAGCCACGGTGGACGAACCCAACCCATCCCCCCATCACTACTGTTCACGACCGCACCGTTCGCAAAGACACCGTCATGGTCCCGGCCGGTGGGTACGTCGCAATCAATTTCAAGTCCGACAACCCTGGACAGTGGTTCCTTCACTGCCATATCGAGGACCACCAACTCCAGGGAATGGCACTCATTGTCGACGAAGCTCCGGAAGAACAGAAAAAGTTTATGATTCCAGATGAAATGAACAAATGCGGAGATTTCACGTTGACAATGGAGGAATATGAACATCTGCGAAGTATGCCTGGCCTCTATGCTGCACACCATGATCCTTATCCTCCACGTTATGATCCTTATCAACCTTTCAGTGGATAAAGTGAAGATGATTGGAAAATTGTTCATGGTGTGACATTAATGTTAATTATAGCTAGTTTGAGAACTCTTTGCTCATGTACAAGAAATTGAATGTAAGGTTTTTTTGGAGTCAGTCCTGCATTAAGATTTCTCATAAATCAGCACGCATGCGTAGCAACAGTTGCAGCATAATTCACACACATGAAAAGCCATACCTCCTAGCTATATAGTTGGTTCTTGCAATACAAGAAGATTATATTGTTAAAGAGCAAAGTATTAATTTTCAGACAAGGAAGTGATCCTAAGGAAGCTGACTTGCTTTAGGCTTGTGGATGAGTATGGCCAGGAGAGGGAGTTGAGGCCTAGCTGGAGTTTACTGTAGCCAGAATTGGAGCTTTTTCCCACAGACACACCCCAGTGGACGACATGATCTCGACGTGGCTGCAAATAGACAAGAGACGTAGCTGGAGAAGGTTTATTGAGAAATTGAGTGATGCTGGTCTTATATCACTTGCCACAGCTGACTTGAGATATGGTCTAATGCATATTGTTGAAGCTTGACATGAACTATTGCTTGTGTGTTGCTCATTCATTAGGTGTGTTGTTGTTGTGTGTGTTGCTGCAACAGAGGCGTAGCTGGAGAAGAAACTGAGTGATGCTGACCTTAGACCACTCGCCACTGACTTGAGATATGCTCTAATGCACATTGTTGATTGGCGAGCGGGAGCGAGCTAACCTAATTATAGTGGTACGAACGGCGCGGATTTTCTATGTGCGTATACATGTGCATATAGTCCGGGGAAGATGCCCCTCGTCGTCGAAGAGAGTGGGAAAGAGAACATCGTGCCCGTGAGACTCCTGAGCAGACTCGTTTGTATCAGCGTCGCTTTCATGATAGGGCGTCTAACTATTTTAGAGTGAGCGCTTCACGTTGAGCACTCTGGCTTTCCTATTCGTTCGTATGGCGGAGCGCTTCTAACGATAACTCGATGGAGACAGGCTCAGAGCGCCAGAAAATGCAGTGCAAGAAGAGCGAAGCGGCAGAGACACGCGGTAGCGACTCCGCCTTCTTTTTCTGGTTGTGCGCGTGACGGTGCGCGCAGGGGGGTCTGCGCGTGCGCGTGGACGACGTGTCAATGTAGATTCAGTTGTTGATCTTGTTGATTACAATCATGTACATTGTGCCCCGAGGGTAGCGCCCTCGATCGCTGCGCTCGGGGCGCCACAATGCCGGAGCTCTCGGTTTTCTTCTGCGCGTAGTTACTTCGAATCAGCGTCTTCAGTAATCCACTTGTACTCTCATGGTTTCTTGATACCAGGTGAGATGTGTATTGATTAGAGGAAGAGGGATACATATTTAATGCCTGTATTAGGTAATTTGACATCTTTGATTTGTGCAACTTCAGACTAAAACACATAGGCATTGGGCTTGCTTGCTATTATAGTCACTGTGTGAGATCATTATCAATTGTCATCATCATACATTATTGTGCATACACTTACATTATGGAGACACAAATCGCTAAAATGAGTATACTACAAAAACACTCAGTGCAAAAACGCTAAAATTAGTGCCCACAATTATTAAGGTATTATACAACACCCAAGCTATAATATTATGTAATGCAACAATTTGATTCTGTTTCCATAGGAGCAGGAATCTGACTAGCTGCAGCTACTTCAACAGAAGCTGTACGTCCGTCTGGTGTGAGTCCCCCACACACAATCAGTGTGTATTTAGGAAGAACTGCTGCAAAAGAGTAGTTTCGCTTCACCTTCATCTGGCTGACTACTTTCCAAGAATTGGTGGTTGCATCGTATTGCATCACGTCAGATGTGGAGTCAGCATCTCTACCAGTAGTCCTTCCTCCTACTGCCAGTAGCTGACCTCGGAAGGTGACGGGAGAAGACTGAAACACTGGAAGTGGAGCAACTTCTTTCCACACTGGAGGACTACGGAAGAGACGTAGTAGCAGACCTGGTGGTCTGGTGGCTAGTGACTGTGGCTGTGACTGGAGGAGGTCTTTCACCTCACACATTACCACTGACTTGGTTGACCCATGAGTACCATACCCACCACCAATATAGAGCCTGTCCCCACAGATGGTGGCTGTGGCTTCCCAGCGAGGACGAGGTAGACTGGCTACTGTGGACCATTGTAGTGTCTGAATGTCCATCAATTCTACTGGTGCCTTCTTCTCATCTGGACCCGCTCCTCCAGCTACTATCAGTGATGTGTTGGTGGTAGCAACTGCTGAAGAACTGCGACAGTATGTCATTGGTGGAAATTGTTCAATCCACTTCTGTTGGAAGATGCCTGGTCTGTCCTGTGGAGGTAGACTGAGAAGAGTGTTTGTGGCTTCGTATGACTGGTCTCCTCCAATTGCTGTCAGTTGTCCATTCACTACTGCTATGGAGAAATACTGTTTGGGGCATTCTGGAAGAACTGTCCATTGCCCTGTCCTTGAGTTAAACATCAGCACTTCAGTATCATCAGCACAGTACACCATCTCTCCACTGACTGCTACTGAACGTCCGAAGATTGGAAACGGAGCTGGTGGTCCATCCCTCCACTCCAGTTTCAGAGGTCCTGTGGCCACACCACTTCCCTCCCTCTCCCTCACTCTCTGCTGTCGTTCTTGTATCTCTCTCTCCTTCTCCTGCAGCAACTCATCCTTTGCCTGAAGTGCTGCATCTTTCTGCTCCACACTCTGTTGTAGAGCAGCCACCACCTGCTCATTATCTCGTATACTGACTTGAAGTGTTTGAAGTTGTCGATCTTGTTGCTGAAGTTGCCTGTCCTTTTGCTGAACTTGTTCATCTTTCTGTTGTATGCTTCTGGCTTGCTCTTCATTCCGCAGTGTCAGTTGCTGTACTTCTCTGGTGAGGTCTCCAACTCTCGACTCACTCTCCCTCAGTTGTTGCTCTAGTTCCTGGTCTCTGGCAGGAGGTGCCTGACCTGTCGTCTCCTCTGGGGTCTGCTGGAGGCTGTCTCGGTAGGCAGCACTCTCTTTCAGAGCAATCAGGCGAGAGCACAGCTGCTCGGCCGTCGGTCGCTGACCTTCCTCGTCTTTGAGGCAGTCCAGGGCTACCTCCAGGAGAGGGTGCGTGGGGGAGATGAGATCCAGGTGATCCTTACGACGTTCCAATTCAGGAGTAACAACATGCACTCGTCCTGATGGAACACGAGGATCGCTTATTTGTATTATATGCATACGAGGGCCTGGGTTGGGCCACTTTCGAGTGATGAGCTGAACAAAGAGCACACCACAGGAAAAGACGTCCAGTTTGCCGCTGTATGTCGGGGGATCTGCCAGTGCCTCGGGAGACATGTAGGTATTGGTTCCGGGGCAGTAGGTGGGAGTGAGGCGAGGGTCGCTGCCCAACAGTTTGGCCATGCCAAAGTCGGTCACCTTGGCTCGCCGGCTGCCGATCAGGAGGACGTTGTTGCTGCTGAGGTCGCGGTGCAGCACCTCGTGGCGATGGAGGTGGGAGAGAGCCTGTGCCACGTCGTGGCCAATGTCCACCTGCACGTGGAGAGGGAGAGGGGGAGGGTCCGCTGGCCGCTCCAGGAAGCTGGTCAGGCTCTCGTCCATCAGCTCCATGAACAGGACGGGCATTCGAGTGCCGGGGTCCGCACACGAGCCCAGGTACTGGATGACGTTGGGGTGCCTCAGGCCGCTCAGGAAGTCGATCTCTCGCTGGAAGCGCTCCACGATGCGGTAGGCGGCGGGGTCTCTGGTCTGGAAGAGGATGGGGTGCAGGACTTTGGCGGCGCAGACGAGCTGGTCACACTTGGCCCTGTACACTGCTCCGTACGAGCCGTTCCCCAGTGAGTTCTCCTCCGACTTGACCAGTCGGACGTTGCGGAAACCAAAGCGACCTTGGAGTCGCTGAGCTGCCATTTTAGGTAGTCTCGTGCCCAGACCCCCGCCTATTATTATAAGCTAGGTGGAGCCAAATTACGCCCCCTTGGCACCAGCGCATGCGCAGCAGTTAGATGTGACGAATGCCCGCCCGTCCTGCACAACCTGCATTCAAGCTATACTAAGGTTTCTTTTTCCATCCACCATAGGTTGAGGTGGACACTGACTGGAGACTTCACCATTCTGCAGAGTGACCTGGTCATGGATGTTTTGTGACAGCCTCAACCCTGCCATTGATATTGGCCAGGTGACTACATACTACTACAGGTGACTACTATGTGTTCATATCACTATCTGTGTCCATGCCTCAAGTGTTCTCAATTACCAGTCAAAATGCATTTTAATGTTAGTTTGTAATGTTTTGCGTTTGTTGTTGTTTTATCTGGCTGCTGGCTTATGCCTTCAGTCCATCAGCACAGTCTTTTTTGTTCTTCAATTCTCGTTTTCCACCGCCTGTGTTGTAAAGCATAATAATAATAATAATAATAATAGAACATTAATAGTCAGTCAGTGTGTGTAGCTTGAAAGAGGCATAAACATACTATAAGCTTAGCCTATTTTCAGATGCCCACCCTCTCCTTATCCTAAGTATTCCGGCTAAGTGCTTTAGTGTACGCAATGTCTACCACAGCTGTTGGTAAATCAATGTATGGTTTGTAGCTAGTGCTAAAAACTCTTCTTTCAATCATCAGGTGGAGGGTGCCTTCACTCAGTGAGAGCCAGTCGGGCAGAGAGATGAATCACTGCTCCCTTCCAGCTGGACACTCTGGCCACTTGCCATGACATCAGAATGGCCTGTGAAGACCAGTTCACTCAACATGTAGTATAATTATATGACAAACTAATGCATGTGTACACCATTCCTTGTAAAGTCGCTGTCCATTTGCTGCAGGCATGTCAAGGCTTCAAAGAAACCCCAAAACGATGGACTTTGGCTGTTTGAAAATGTACATAAGTTATCTATTATGACTGTAATTATATATCCTTCACAAGAGCATAATAATGGCAGGTGACACATTGATTGTGATCAAGAATTCTAACAATGTCATTAACTTGTGTATCTGCTACACCTGCGTGTGCGTGAATGTCGCATACAGCTGTTCAAAGGTCTTTCCGCTCGCCAAAAATATATACTCATTCTATATAGTAACTATAATGTGTAGTGCCAGTTTCGTTGCTTATTCCCTTACAACAACATTTTCACTGAAAAGTAAAGAGTGCTCAAAATTATCATGCCTGAGAATTAAAATTCCAGCTTCAAAGCCTTTCGATACAATTTGTTGGGTCTCTAAGAACAACTAAACAGTCAAAATTGAATTATGGCACAATAATTGTGACGAGTTATATAATCCTTATTAACGATAATGACAGGAGTACTATGAGAAGAGCCTTGCGTAGGGATAGCAGGGAGCTGTTGCCACTCCACACATGTTGTTCATGTTTCGAGCAATCCTCATGTAGCCATTTTCACCCCAATACTCTCCCCAACTGCAGAATAGAATGTCGAGTGTACATGTTAACGATATTATCTGAAGGACACGCTGGGACAGTGAAAATGCAGAGGTGTCCTTTATTCAGGGGTTAAATACCGGATTGAAAAACAAGTGTCCTTTATAGAGAGGTGTCCTTTCGGAGCATCTTTTATAAGAGGTTCCACTGTACAGTGGAATCATATAGAACACCTCTGTATAATAATTATGCAGTTGTTTTGATTTGGTACTATTATATCGGAAAACCTGAAATTTGACAGTCTTATCTTTTTCTGACGGTTTCACTGTAGTGCGTGTGTTCTAACAAAAACCTATCTATGCTAGTCATTAATTTTGCCTGTTTTTCAGGATCCAGTAAGTTTGGCCACTGTTGGAGGTTCCGTAGCCCACCAGTAGCATGGCGTGGTTCAGTTTGGAGCTGCTGCAGCTGTAGTCCACGTAGAGCTCTCCAGAGTAGAACTGGAACTCGTAGCTGTTGGAGTCCAAATTCACACTGCGTGTGCATGTGTCAACAAAGTGAGGTAGCAGGGCAATCACGAATTTGTTCATGTGTATGTGTGTGCATAAACAGTAGCAAGGAACAATTGACATAAACTCTCTCATTCATCCTGATATCTATAGGACCCACTATCATTCTCCAGCAAAAGTTGCCATTACTATAATACTCTGTATGCATTTGTGTGAGCATGCCATAACTCTCATTCCTCCCGATCTCTATAGGACCCACTATCATTCTCCAGCAAAAGTTGCCTTTACTATAATACTCTGTATGCATTTGTGTGAGCACGCCATAACTCTCATTCATCCTGATCTCTATAGGACCCAGGACCCACTTTCATTATCTGCATCTTCTCACACATCACATCTCAGACATACATAATATTATTCTGTGTATGCGTGAGCACATAACCAACAGCAAGAACATTTTTAATGAAAGCTGAACATAAAGTCTCTCATTTTTCCTGATCTTTGTAGGACCAACTATCATTCTCAAGCAAAGGTTGTCTTTACTTTACTGTCTGTATGCATTTGTGTGTGACCGTGCACATCAGAAAGTAGAACAAAGGATGGACATAAATTCTTATTTATCCCGATTTCTATAGGACTCACTCACTATAGACTGTCGAGCAAGGATTACACACGCAATGATGTGTGTTTGTATTCATGGTGGGAAAACACGTTCCCTGAGCCTGGCCAAGGGGTGTCAAACATCTGATGCTATTGCATGGGATCTGATGCCTTTGCATGGGAGTGTACACACTCGAACCATTCAAAATCTTTTGCACTGTGCAAACATCCACCTTTACGTGAACAGGGAGTTGGGCCCTATTCGTTATACCTCATTATTATTCTTTCCTAACCTGATGGGTCCAATCTCGTACAGAGCTCGCTGAAGATAGTATTCGTTGCCGCTGGTCACACACTCGTACTTGTTGACCCCCACCACAGCCGTGCAGTACTGTGACATGCACTTCCACACATAGCCCAAGTAGGAGTAGGCCGAGGAGAGGCAGAGCCCGTTGTATTTGATGTACTTGAAGGCTGCAGTGGGCGATCCGCTGTTGCAGCCGTTTGTCCCGTACTTCCAGGAGCAGTCGATGAGCTGCTGGGTGCTCATACTGCAGCAGTGGCCCGTTCTCTTAGAGAATTGTCCCTCCAGTGACCCGACAGCACTGAAGGCCCAGGAATCACCGCATTTGCCCTGATCTTTCACCTGTCAATTTTGTACAGTGTCTCAAGTAAAAGTTCTGTTTCCAATTTTCAGAATTAGATTTTCATGAGATACTCAGCACTTTCGTGTCGTTTTGCAATTGATTTAGCGAAAAAATTAACAAATTCGAGCAACTGGATGACAAATTTGTGAACCTTTCACCACTTTTTACAACAATACCAACATGCGGTTCACAAATTTGTCACCCTAAAATTTCAGGGTTCACAAATTTGTCACCCCTGTAGTATGAATAGTATTAGCTACATAGTCACAAACCTCACTGGTGAAGGTGGCAATCAAACTTGGCTGCATTTGCCAAAAAATAGATGTACCTTGTTTTCTTAGAATATTTAGAGGGAGAGTGCTGATTTTTATATGATTTATGGTAAAATCTGAAAATATGAAACGGAACTTTTACTTGAGACACTGTTTTTTGTACAATTATCATTAAAGCAGTGGATCAAACTCGATCTCACTGCACACATCACATTACGGATCAAAAACCTGTACATCATAAATCCGTGGATCATGAATATTTTGTATACACACAAACACATCTAATATAATGTGAATCAAAACTAAGTCTGTCAGTTTACGTAACAAACAACCTGGATCAAACCCACCTGGCTGACAAGGTCTTTCTCTCTCCAGTCCAGGTAGTCAGGAAGAGAGACGTCCATTGGGTAGTCCTTGAATGTTACGTCATCGTCCAGTTTCATGTCCTCAGAAGGCAAGTATTGACTGTGGAACTCTTCTTGCGTCTACATTGAGAAAACCGTTCAACAACTATGAACTTGTTAGGCCTCTGATAATCTACCTAGCGGCATTTGTTAGTACTAGCTATAGACTCGCTACAAACCATATCGGAGAATTGGTTGAGTCCCAGAGTGAAACTGCGGTTCCCAGCGTTATGCTCCTGGATGCGCGCCGAGTTCTCCATCCAGATCTGGCGCCGCGCAGCCTCCTCCTTCGGATGCGCGTAGAACTTGCCGTGCGCCGTCTTCCATGAGTGCCATTGGTCGTCATGCAGCCTGGCGGCGGCGACCGCGAAGAGTAGAGCGAAGACAAGGCAGACTTTGGACACCATCGCTGTAAAGATTTAAAAATTATAGCTGGTTGACGGGCGAGACGAGCGATCAAAAAAGCAAGGAAAATGATCTTGTACCCTAGTTTTATTCCGATGTTAGCAGGGGACTGCGTTTACTCTCAGATTCGCGTCGCGCGGCGGCTATTCATCTCGCGTGTAGGCAGGGCTCTGCCAACACCTACGACAACTCCTAATGTTTATTTAGGCATAAATAGCGCCATTCACGCCTTTTTCATTGCATATCTAAAGAGGGCAAATACGAGACAGCTCTTTCGCTTAGGCTGAGGTTCCGGCATATACTTAGGCGCCAATATTTACGATTCAGCGTACATCCCACCTGACCCGTCAGTTTAGTGTGCAAGTGATGCGCTGCTTCGTGGTTCTCTGTGCGATAACAGCGGTGCTAGGAACAACCTACCCGTCGCTCCACGAGCAGTGGGCGCAATGGAAAGAGAAGCACGGGAAAGTCTACGGGGACGAGGCTAGCGAGAGCGCGCGACGCTCCACGTGGCAGAGGAACTACGAACTGGTGGCGAGGCACAACAGGGACACCGACAAACACGGATTCAAGCTTGCTTTGAACCAGTTTGCAGATCAGGTAAGATGTAACTTCGATAAACAAAGCTGAATTTATACAGCAGCTTAGGCAGTAAACATTGTTGAATGATTAATAATGTTATTTGTGTTTTAGAGCAATGAAGAGTTTTCGAAGAAGTATCTGTCATCATTTCCCATGTCATGGACTGGTCATCACCAGTCTACTTCCGTGGATTTTGATGGCACTCCGGTTAGTGAGCAGCCTTCGAGACTTGACTGGAGGAAACTGGGCTATGTGACTCCCGTGAGTACGCAATATTATAGCTACAACTAATTTACACTTAAAAATGTGTCACTAAACAAAAATATATACCCAGATGCAGTTTGTTTCATATGTACATAGCTACACTTTACCCTGCAAACCAGATATCCCTTTCTCAGCCGTTTTTTTTCTGCTGTAGTGATTACTCTACATAATGGTTTATCGTTTGGCCTCGCTTTCTATGCTGCATAGCTAATGGTGTGTGCGTTTTAGATGCTATAAAACAAAACGACGCAGGTGAAAGACCAGGGAGACTGTGGGTCATGCTGGGCCTTCAGTGCAACAGGAGCTCTGGAAGGCCAGCACTTTAGGAGGAAGGAGTCGCTTGTATCTCTGAGTGAGCAGCAACTCATGGACTGCTCGTGGCCGTACGACAACTACGGCTGTGATGGAGGGAAAGTTGGCCGTGCGTTTGACTACGTTGGCAACAATGGACTCTGTGCCGAGAAGGACTACTGTTACCTCTCATATGTGAGAACAGGCAGAATAACACGAGTGTTGCACAGTAGCAAGAAGATCTTTCACTTTCTGGGAATTGTTGTATAGCTATGTGAGAACAAGAGTAACAGTAAATACACCTGCAATTTGGGAACATGCACAGCCCCTGTTTATTCATTAAAACAAATGGCTATTTTTCACTCTCAAGGAAATATTGGTGGTGTTATGTAATATTAGCCAAGCTTATGCCACACATAGCTACCACTTTTCAATATAAACATTAGTTTGTACTGTTAATGGTTGTTCAGTAGAACACTGTGTGGCTGGTTGTCTGTAGGTGTGGAAGTGCATGGACAGTTACTGCACCAACAAAGTGAACAGCACGGGATATGTGAGGGTCCAGTCAGGCAACGAGACAGCTCTCTTGGGAACACTGGCCAGAGTTGGTCCAGTCAGGTATAGCAAAAACTATTACCCATAATTGTTCAGTACGTACTTTGTAATAATAACGCCAGTCTTTCTGTCACAATCTCTGTGGGGCCAAAATTGCGTGCGTCATTGCCTAATAATAAGGAACGTCTTAGGCTGCAATGCCGGAATGGCGGGATTGGCCCAGATGGTAAGGTAATGAACCCAAGCTCCCAAATTCCTAAGCTATATTACAACTGTTCTTATGTTAAGCGTTATATTGTTTGCGTTGCATGTTAGTAAAATAAAAAAAGCCCCTTGAGGGGCTTTGGGCTACATATTTACACACAGTAGCTAAAACAAATTTAAAAGCTGTTTGGAGTAAGTAGCTAATAGTGTATATAGAGTTTAAGCATGAAGCTTGCACTGATAGGTAGCTAAATATTATCATTGTACATAATTGTTATGCTTCCTGTAGTATGGCCATTGATGCGTCGGGGTACCAGTTCCAGTTTTACTCCGAGGGAATCTACTCCAGCACCCAGTGTGACTCCACCCACCTCAACCACGCCATGCTGGCAGTCGGCTACAGCTCTTACTACGGCGACAAGTACTGGATCGTTAAAAACAGGTCTGAGGGGACTCAGCAAACCATGCTCTCATTGCATATCAATCGAGAGATTTGAATTTGTTTCCACAGAGAGTAGTTTGGGTTTTGCCTTTGCATAGTAGACGATGATTCAAAGCTGGTTAAAATCAATGATTCGCGGTAAAAGCTGGTGGGTTTTCTGTTTTTCATCTCTGCGAGCATAGAGGCGTAAATGAAAAATCGGTGATAAGGAATAATTTAGCCACAAGTCCAGAGACAAGTGGGATAATTTTGTTTTCTATTCACCTGCAGCTGGGGTGAGAAGTGGGGACGAGAAGGCTATATTCGGGTTGCGAGAGACGGGGGGAACATGTGTGGAATAGCTACCGCTGCTCTATACCCTGTTCTCGGATGAAGGACCACCGTTTTATTGTTCACCAAGATGTTATCATTTTATACTAGTCACTTATTACGTGTACACCATAGCTACTTGTTAGTTAATAGTGATTTGTGTTTTGATTGCAATATTTCGGTTGTAGAAAAATTTGTATATATGATTTAGCCATAAGTGTATATAAGAGTGACTATAATATACACACACAAGTGATATAGCTATATATAGAGCACTAGTGGGCATTCTACAACACCCAGCTTGAAAGAACTATTTGCTAGCAATAAACTGTGAATCGTACACATGGCATAAATATACGTAGCCTCCATACTTGCATTAGGGTGACTATCTGCACAGATCATTTCAATGAACAGCTCAATGTATGGCATATGGGGACTTTATGAATAACAGGGCTTTTTCAGGTAGCATACATGCATGAGTTGGTGAAAAATTACGAGATAAAAATGCTACTTCCAATTCTGGCCAAAAGGCATTATGAAAAACACGACTGAATGGAGTTGGTTACTCTAGTGGATGAATCAATGTGATAGGACAACTCTAAATAGTAGAAGCGTGAAGATGAAGATAATGTGCAAAAGAAAGGCACAAAAGAACGGCATTGCTCACATCAACTTTTGGCTGGTCCAATATCTCTGTAAAAGGGCATGCGTCAAATTGCAAATGAATACCTCTCTCTTTCACTGCATTCATTATTATGCAGTGTTTTCAAACAGCATAATCGTTGAAAAAGGCAGTGTTTCGTCACACTTTTTTCATTGGCTTGTCGCAGTACAGCCAGCCACGTAGAGGCCCTCTTATCGCCTGGTTCTCTCAAAAGAAGCTAAAAGGTTTACTGTTTTCAAGCGATACATGCTATAGTCGACGCGGCGCTGAGTGTTTTCCGCGCCCGCGGCACCGCTGTCATCACGTGGGCTGCGCAGATTTTTTTGTATTGGTGCAGTGCATACTTACATAACAGAGAATAGCAGGTAATGATACAGTAATTTCCCTCCTGACCGTCTACCGGAGTTGCGTCTACGCGAGAGGTAGCTATTGGTAGCGAGAATGAGGCGAGCAGTGGCTGCAGCGTTTGTGGTGGCATTCACTCTGTGTCTGCCCTCCCTCTCCGCGGCGAGGACGCTCAGCGAAGAGTGGCACTCGTGGAAGACGAGGCACGAGAAGGTGTACGTGGACCGCGGGGAAGAGAACGTCCGGCAGCAGATATGGATCCAGAACCGGGCCCGCATCTCGGCGCACAACCGCGGCAACACCAGCTTCACGCTCGCACTCAATCAGTTCGCGGATATGGTGAGTACTGCAAATACACTAACGTTGCAACGGATCACAGCACCCTAACATGCCGAATTGCCACTTGGAGGTAGCTACCTGCAGTACCTGCAGTGTAGAGAACCCACATTAGCTACCTATAAGATCATGCTTTTCTTGCACAGTTATAATAATATAATTATGCTCTAGCTATGTAGCTGCTAGCTATCATCTATGATCATGGTATTATGCAAATTTTGAAGGCTGAACACGAAATAAGGGAGGAATTTTTGATGCAAGATATGGTGGTGGACGCGAAGCAGGAGTTACACGAGAGACGTTTCCATCGACACTCGGAACTGGTGTCCTACCCTGAAAAGTGGGACTGGAGGGAGAAATCATTTGTGACCGACGTAAGGAAACAAAGGGAATCCATAGTACACAAGGGCTTAATTTAGAAATGTTAGATGGAACTAAACAATGGGGGCCAGTGAAAGAATGCTTTTTAGTTTTTTGGCAACATTTAGCCCTTAACAAAGCCAAGGAAAGGGTAGTTGACCATATTCCATTGTCCACTACGTAGGAAAACCACATTCCAGTAACCACTCATTATTTTACTCTTTCTGTTACATAGGTCAGTGATCAGAGGCGATGCAGAGCTAGCTGGGCATTCTCGGCAGCAGGCGCCATGGAAGGCCAGTACGCAAAGAGCTGTGGGAAGCTGGTGGCACTCAGTGCACAGCAGCTCGTTGACTGCTCCTGGAAATACGGGAGTCAGGGTTGCAATGGTGGAAGTCCGTCTAAGGCATTTTCCTATGTAGTGGACAATGGAATATGCTCATCTGTCAACTACCCTTTCCTCGGCTTTGTGAGTCTGGCCACCGCCATGTTCTTTGCACATTGTCACCAATGTAGAAAGAGAGTTCCTATTTTTTATTGAACAGAGGAGAGTACAGAACTTGAATGAACTGTGTTCGTAGTGAACTTTAACCTGAATGAAATGTGTGCCCACAAAACAGACTTCAAATATACACACACGCACTGCATGCACTGAATAGATGTGGCAGTGTATGGCTCAGTACTGTGGGAAGTCTGCCAGTGCTATCGATGAGAGGATGGTACGTCCTCAGAATGAAACTGATCTTCTGGATGCTCTCTATCATGTGGGTCCACTCAGGTAGGCTATTTCCACTGATAGAGTTTATGTTGCTAGCTATAATCCGGAAAAATCTTATTGGTTATGAGGGAATGTAATAGGAAATTTTATTGACCAGGCCAATCATGTCAGATATTTCTTGGCATCCCTAATTTCACAGCTGTGTAAGCTGCACTTAGCTAATTGCATTTATTTTACACAGTGTGATGGTGGATGGGTCAAGCTACAACTTTCTCTTCTACGAGGACGGAGTGTTCTCGGACACAAACTGTGGCTGTGACGAGACGAGTCTCAACCACGCCATGCTTCTCGTCGGCTACGTCGCCTACGAAGAGTCACAACAGTCCTACTGGATACTGAAAAACAGGTCCTCGCGCGTGCATTCTATCGGAGGCATGGGGACGTATTCTTGTGCGGGTGGCGCATCGTGCGCGCGTCGTCGATCGGCGCGCGTCCTCAATACCCCGCGCAATCTGCTAACCATAGAGAGATTGAATCATTCTCCAACTGTTTTCTTTTCATTCTCATGCAGCTGGGGAGTGTCGTGGGGAGCAGACGGCTACATGTTGTTACAGAGAGGCCAGAACATGTGTGGCATAGCAACCCAAGCAACTTATCCCGTCGTTATCTCCATGTAGCTATTCTTATTAACACTTTTGCACAAAGTCATACAATAGTGTAAAGAAATGCTTTATGATTTTTTCTTGCATATGTACACGGTAGCTATAGTAGACCCAATTCACATGTGCATCATTATTGTAAATGCCACATGTGCATGGAGATTCTTTTCATTTTGAGATAAAAATATTCAACCATTAAAAGCAATATAATAATATTTTTAAAGTTACAGGACATAATGTTATTAAAGAGGGAACTAATCAATAGGGCCCCGGGTAATGAATGAAAATTCATGCAGCCCTCTTAATACTTGCCACAGGTCGCTATAATGGTTGCAAGTCTATTATAATCACTGATGTGGCTAAGAAATGAAAGACAGGTGGCACAGTCTTGCAAACCATGTCATACACAACTGGCGGCCTTCATAACTAGAAATGCATGTGAGACTAATAATTATTTAACACAAGGAGAATTGATTTCAGGCCCGTACCATTTAGCACATCACAGCGTGGATATTAATGTAAATCGGTAGACACTTTGTGAGCTCTAGAGGTGAAAAGGTGACCTGAAAAATAAGCTGGACCTCTTGTAGTTGAGTGTGGGATTAAGAGCCTGTGTGTTCCATTGTCAAGCAGTCACTCATTCCTAAAAAAAGAGCTAGAAGCTCTAAGTGCCACTAATGTTACCTGAGTGGTATGTGAATGGGTTTGGGGTACTGCAAAAGTGGGACAATTTGTAGCAGAAAGTGCACCTCTTTTCACCACTGAAATTACCACTCTCACTCTCCCCCCTTCAACTCTAATTTTTGTTGTACAAACAACAGATGTAAACAGCTCAGCGTTCAGGTATAAAGGTTGATGAGTATAGAGAAGGGGATCTTGTGTGAAGAGGAGAAAGAAAAGTATAGTGAGCCATGAATCAGTGCTGGTGGTTTCTGAGTCTCCTTGTATTTGTGAGGGCAGTATCTCACTTGGAACAGCAGTGGCACTCGTGGAAGGAGAGGCACGGGAAGTTGTACATGGACATTGAGGAGGAGCACCAACGTCGCAACATCTGGTTGGATAACTTGGACAAAATCGAGAAGTTCAACAACGGTGCCACAGGCAACTTTAGTCTGGCCATCAATCAGTTTGCCGATTTGGTGAGTCTTGCTTTCTTACCTCACTTTTCCACAGTACATTATGTTACATACTAGTTAATACATTTGAGTAGCTTTTTTATGGAGTGCCAGTTGAAATATTTTTTACTGTCTGCTTACCTTCCCTGCAACCCTCTCATGCAGACACATGAGGAGTACCAACAGAATTACCTTTCTCCACTGTTGATCGATGACGAGGGTAATTACACAGGGGCGACTATTCATCTCCCCCCACCAGCGGACCAGGGACCTTCCGAATATCCAGAGAGAGTGGACTGGAGACAAAAAGGATTCGTCACACCCGTAAATTCCTCTGATTAACAAAACTTGCATTAAAACTTGGGCCAGCAAAGCTTTCTTTATGCAATGTCACCAGAGATCCAGCTCTAAAATATTGTTTTGGGTGATTATAAGGAACCTTGTTGACGGGATCATGCCGGAAAAGGCAAATTTTTTCACAATGATATCGTGTGCTGAGTGCCAAAATTATTCCAATGTGTCCCCTCTCTCTCTGACTAGGTAAAGAACCAGGGGTCTCACTGCAAGCAGTCGTCATGGGCATTCAGTGCTGTAGCAGCCATAGAGGGTCAGTACTACCGAGAGACCGGACAGCTGGTGACACTGAGCGAGCAGCAACTCATCGACTGCACCACGGGCTTCGGAAATGCCGGTTGTCACGGCGGTCGCATGATCAACTCATTCAAGTATGCCATCAAGAACGGCGGTCTCTGCCAGGAGTCCGACTATGACTACCTCGGCTACGTGAGTTACACTTACAGAGGGTTAGGAATATTTTTTTATGGTGGGTCTAGCGTATAGTCTGTTGTATGTGGGTATTGCTATCAGTTGTTGATGATGTAAGGGAAGAGATGTGCAATGTGAGATACTCCTCCTTGTACTTTCGTGTTTCCCAAACCCCCCTCACTTTGATGTATTTTATCCCCTTCACACACACACAGAATTTTGAAGGTTACCTAAATTCGTTGTCCCCTAATTAAGTTCAAACACACTGCCACAGTTAAATGAACTTCAAAGCAAAAGGTCTTATTGTTCCCTCTCTGTGCAGAAATGGCACTGTATGTCAGAGTACTGCAGCAGTGTGGCACACTGTGTGGATTACACGAGGGTCAAGATTGGCTCAGAGGTCGCCCTCCTGGATGCCATCTATCGTGCTGGGCCAGTCAGTGTCGGCGTAGACGCTACAAACTACCACTTTCAGTTCTACAGTGACGGAGTTTATGCCGAGTCTGGTTGCAACAGTCACAGTCTCAACCACGGCATGCTACTGGTCGGCTATGGGGTCACGTATGACAACATTGAATATTGGATCGTCAAAAACAGGCGAGACAATAATCGTGACTGTGTAACTGAAACCAGGCATTTGGCTTGTTGACCCTAGTGTATATACATGTGGGTCTGTGTGCTGTCAGTGTGGAGCACTCCATGCATTTTACGAGAGAGAGAGAGAGAGCCGTGGTCATACTTGATTTATCAAACTTGATTTGCCAAACTTTTCCAAATTTGTCGCTAAACATTCTCTACTGGCCCATTAATATCCACACTGTTCAAAACCTGGTTCAGTCACCAATCATCATTGTTGAATAACCGAGGAGTTGGCATTATAATAGACAGTGACATTTCTTCAGTCCTGGATACATAGACCATTCACAGTGCTGTATGATCGTACAATGTTGTGCTCACAATAGCATGTGAATCCACTGATATTAATTGTCTGAGGATTTGTGTGGAATTGAAAAGCATGCTCGGCATCAATACCATTCTTGCCTCGTGTCAGACACAATTGGACTCCCTCTGTAAATCTGTCATGTTATTCATTACTGTGGTCAAACAGCACCAGTGCCTTAATTGCTTCTATTCACAGGTATTGCTATGGAGCATGGGAAAGCCTCTATTGTTAATAGACTTTCATCTCATTCTCTTCATGCAGCTGGGGCACGTCGTGGGGTGACAGGGGCTACATGAAGATTGCTCGCAACATGAACAACATGTGTGGAGTGGCCACTGCAGCCAGTTACCCCACCGTGAAGCAGTCGGACTAAACTGTTTATCATTATAGAGAGCATGATAGTTTCTTTATGTCTGTGATTGTTTGTTCAAAAACCATTTTAAAGTGTGCTGTTTTTTCTCATAAGGTTGACGACATTGCAATATTACGCCAATGCTAAACAGTCGCTAATTAGCTACACAGGGCCCAAAAAATTTAAAACGTTTCATTATGCTGTTATTGTCCTTTTCTGCATATATAATCACATGGTTCAGTAATAATTATCATGTGCAGATCATAGACTTCTTGTGCACACTTTTGTGTCAAGATTTCGTCTGGTTATGCTTTGCCCAGTTTCTACAGTTCGACTATCATTTTTTTCATGAGTTAATCCATGATTTAATCCTTTTGAAGACATGAGTATCTATAATTATATTTTCCATGCAGTAGTATTACAATTGTACTATAAGGACTAATGGAAGCCCCTGGACATGTCTGTGGCTCGTTAAGGGTTCAGATGTTATGAGACGGATTTTCGTTTCATAAGCTTCAAACACTATTCTCCACGTTAGAGATAAAGAAAAATTATGTTGGAAAAAAACGAGATACACGTGAGAGCTACAATATTTACAAAATGGTTGTGACACAAGTATCTAGTAGTGAGGTGTTGTTATTACACGAAGACTACATGTAGCTCATTCTAGGGTAGCTGGCTGCAGTTGCTATGCCACACATGTTGTTGTCATTGCGCAGTATCCTCATGTAGCCACTCTCTCCCCAGGATCTCCCCCAACTGTCATGGAAAATGAATATTCTCACAATCACAAAGTAAAATTTTAGCTAAACAATTAAAGTATAGTTACGTGACCATTATACTTTTTAAACTTCATGGCTCGAATGCTACTAGGCAAAAGAACGACTCAAAACTAATGTTCTGCAAATGCAATGGGCTTCAGCAAGAAGTATTTTTCCTGGTGAAGAAAGTTTCCTTATGCACCTATAATACCTTGGGGAATTAGCAAATAACAAGAATAGCGTTTGATGTGGTTTTCTCATGCAGCCTTGGGGCCAAACTATTGGTAGGTTATAATAGTGAGAACACATGCAAGTTCCCTTATCCACAGCAAGGCTCTGCGACTGTCTGAACCTGTTCTTGACGATCCAGTATGGGACCCCATTGTAGGAGGAATATCCGACCACGAGCATGGCGTGGTTCAGTTTATTGGTGCTGCAGCTGTCGTCGTAGAACACTCCACTGGAGTAGAACTGGTAGGTGTAGCTGGACGCATCCACCGCTGCACTGCAAATGTGAACAAAACAGCGTAGAAAAAAACATTACACACACTGTGCATAACGTCGTAGTAAGAATTTGATTTCATTTTAAGGCTTTACAACACAGTTCCATCATCAAAGGTAAAAGTTTAAGATGAATTAACACGATTTCGATAGTCCATAGAAGTATTAGCTATGAACTTAGTCGCCCTTCTCTGAAGTAGCTCAAGGCATTTTACACACAGGTCTCTCAAAATAGCACTCTTCTTTTCCTGTCGTGAAGTGTTGCATGCAGCGTTGCTGGCCTAATAGGTCCAGCTAGTTAAAAAGGTCTAAAAGTGTTTGTAACAAGTCTAAGAGTGTGTATGGTTTTCACACTATTGTGTTTGAGAAACATGAATATAATATAAGACAAAATTTATCCCTCTCATTGCATAAGTGAAGTGTGGAAAAAGGGTGCTATGTTAGAGGCAAAAAGCAGAAAAGTGTGTGTATGTACAACAAAGCCCTCGGTTGACTTGCACCACTTTAGCAGTATGTATGCGTACATTTTGAATGGTGTACATGAGGTTCTCTCTACAAACATACCTGATGGGGCCAATGGAGTAGACGGCATTCTGCAAGCTAGTCTCGGAGCCCGACTGTACATTGATGTAGCCACTGTCTGTAGTCATCGTAGAACAATACTTCTCCGTACAGTGCCACACCTTTGAAACGAAACAGGGCCAATTTGTGTACAATGAACAACGGAAACTTTGAAAGTGATACTTTTGACTTTGCACTCAGTATAATTTGTAGCGGGTTATTGAGAAGAGTAAATTGAGAAGTAATATTGAGAAGCTAAGCCGAAATTCACAAAATCTGACGGGGTAATGTACGAACTCACATAGCCGAGGTAGGGATAGCTACTCTGTGAGCAGACTCCGCCACTCTCTGAGATGTACTGGAAGGCATAGTTGGCGTGCCCTCCGTTGCAGCCTCTGTTCCCGTAGGCCCACGAGCAGTCGATGAGCTGCTGCTCGCTCATGTACACCAGCTGACCAGTGGTCCTTTTGTACTGGGCCTCCAGAGCACCAGTGGCGGCAAACGCCCAACATGACCCGCATGAACCCTGGTTCTTGACCTGTTGGAAGATGTCCAATGAATGTGCAATGAATTGTCTTATGGGTCCTTTGCCACCAGGTAGGTAGTAATATCTTTCAACCCCACCCTCATAAAAGTGTCACTAAATGTTTGTAAAAGAAATGCTTATTTATGAGCAAGCTATCAGTTGATCTAAGGTTTTTGAACATGTTAGGATTTACACGTAGCTAACTAATACAGTCTGGAATATAGAATGAGTAGTGAGTATATAGGGATCAGGGCTGGAAATAACTACACATACAGCCTCTTGTGTATATACCTGAGTGACCCATCCTTTCTCCCTCCAGTCGAGGCTGGACGGGAGATCCACGTTGCTGTCCACGTGTGTCTCTCCCTTGCGCCACATCTCCTCCAACTCTTCAGAATCAATGGGTGGCAAGTAGATCCTGTGAAACTCCTCTTGGGTCTATTTTATATTACAGTGTTAGTAAAACCAATGAGTATGTAGCAACTAGCGGTAACTATCCAATTAGCCATGAATTTTGATATTATTACTGGTATAGAGTATATATTAATATGAAGCACATGCATTTCTCACCAGATCTCCGAAATGGTTCATTTCAAGGGTAAAGCTGTGATTCTGTCCATTGTGCTCTTCGATGGCAGCCAAATTGCTCTTCCATATCCCAAATCTCCTGCTCTCCTCTTCCTCTGTATCAAACAGTTTCTTCTGCTCCCTCTTCCACTGCTGCCACTGTCCGTTGACACTTAGTCCCTGAGCACTCACACTCAGCAAGATACAGCCGCAAAGAGTCACTGCTAAAGCTATTGTCAACATCTTATTTTCAGAGCATACACTCCAGAGACAGACCACTTTCACACGCTTTGTGTGCAAAAGAAATTACAAGAGCTGCGGCTTTTCCCCTTTATATCGCAGAAAGTGGTCCATTAGCCGCCCGGTCCTGTTTCGTCAGGCTGTATTTTGAGTGTGTGCGTCCCCACACTGAATTGCAAAGTGTTTGCTGTTGAATGGTGGGGACACACACACACATGTTGGCAGGGCTCCCGGGACACGCAGAGGTACACTCGACTCGTGTGTTCGACTCGCCGTAATGTCATGCACATAACCATGTGATGTGAGTATCAGTGACATTATTTCATGGGTACTAGATGTGCCCTTTGAGAGATGGTACCACTGTATCGATGCTCTAATGTGATGACAGAAGAAATGTATAATATAGCATCACAGATTAAAAAGCTCATTCATTGATAATTCACGCTGTGCTTCATATAGATAATACAGTATTGCGTGCATTATTCCTTTTCCCTTTGCATTTCCCTGTGCTTTTTCACTCTTTAACTTTTCAATCCACTCTTCAATCCATTGATAATGCAATGCACTATGCAGTCCAATTTATTGAGAGTATTTACACCTTTTGACTTTTTACTTAATACTGCAGTGTATACAGTGTTCCATGGTTTAATTAACAGTGTAGCAATCATGGCAAATGTGCTCTCATATGCAACTTACATGCTCACGTACTATAACCAACTATAAATATGAAGATAGCAAGCAAAATATAATTATTTGTAGTACAGATCATTTACACAAATAGCAGTTTGTGATTGTTCAATTATTATGCGACCACAATTGTCCTGCTGTCCTCTCTCTGCGTTACAACTACTTTAATGGTGATTTGACTGAGGCTACTTGCTTCATAATATATTGGTCGGTTGGTTGGTAGCAGTAAACCACTGTCCTTAAAAGGTGATTGTCTTCATACAGGTTGGTACAGCAGTAAACAATTGGGTCTAAGTGATTGTAGCTACAGCATCCTAGCCCCTTCATACAGCTACTTCAGTCGAACACGACGACCAAATTTTGGTTGACAAAGATCACCACATTGACTTGGAAACCTCTCATAATATCCATACAAGCAGAGCAGCATTCTCCCAGCACGCGGCGTGGCTGCGTTAATGTCAACCAACGTTACATAAAGACAGTGGGGCATCAGCATACACTGTGGTCGCTGTGTGTATGCCACTATTACAACTTTTCATACTTTGGTCAATTGCTGATAGAATTTCAATGACATAGATAAAGGTTTATAAGCATAAGGTGCTGGCTTTGTTCTAGTAGGTGAATGTTCACCAGGTGGCGTTGAGCATGCACAATGAACTTCTAGTCACTGTGTGCTTTAATTCGAAGTGTACAAATTTATCTGCGCCGGCACTATAATTATTCTAACACCCTATTGTGTGTACTAATCATTGCCATGCAGGTTTTTGCCACTTGCATGTTATAAGACCAATCACATGTGAGGTATAAAAGCAAGGCCAGTGAAGAAATCTAAAAAAAACACCCAGGATAAAAATCAGATCATAGCTGTTGTGGTTCTTATTTCCAATGAATGGCATATTGCCATTATTCTCTAATGGTTGGCCTTTCATACTACTAACAATTCAATTGCAGGCACACTGTTATGTTTATATTTTTTATATTGCAAGAAAGATTCAACGAACAAGAGTTTTGCTTAGCAATAGATTTTACTTCTAAAAAAATAAAATGATTGTTGTTTCATTTTTAAGCATGCTTTTATAAACAAAAACAGGTTACAGCATTACAGTGATTTAACACATGTGGATTGTACTGCACGAAACAGTCACAGCAAATATCTAAAAGTCTAAATAATGTCTGAGTGAGTAGTAGATGCGAAGTTCTTAGATGTAGGGATAGCTGGCTGCCGTGGCAATGCCACACATGTTGTTGTAGTTGCGTGCCATCATGATGTAGCCACTGTTCCCCCATGATGTCCCCCAGCTGAAGTGAAGGAGAGAAAAATAAAGTATAGCAGGCAGAGAGAATGGAATGAAACTTGGGAGATGAAAGAAGACGAGAAAAGAAAAACGCAAATGAAAAAAGAGAAAGAAAGGCGAAAGAGATTGGGGAGATAAAGGGAGAGAGAGAAAGGTGAAGCGAAAGGGGAAAAATGAGAGGAAGAATCGACAATGAGGACAGCAAAAAACCCGATTTCGGTTCATTGCTCTGCTACAAATGATACACATAGAGTGAAGTCCTGACCTGTTCTTGACGTGCCAGTATGCAGTGTTGCTGTTGACCCCATAGCCAGTCACCAGGACTCCATGGTTCAGCTTGCTCTGACTGCAGCTGTCGTCAGTGTACACTCCCTTGGAGTAGAACTGGAACCCATAGCTCGATGCATCAATGGCTACGCTGTTTGATACGCAAAAAGAGGAGGAACATGCAATCAATCAAGCATCCATGAATAAATGGTTGTAGGTTCATCTGTAATCCTTTACGGTCTACTCAAGGCAATAACTATCACAGTATTAGCTATAAAATATAACCGTTGAATTATCTTTCTTTCTATTATAATGTGTGATGGAAGCACATAACTATTAAATGCAAAATGTGTCTTATTTTCTGCCCATGGAGTCCTCATATAGAGTGTATACTTCAGGGTACATGAGGCATGAGTTAATTACATCAACAGAAGAAAAGCCTAGTGAGCTACCCAATGTTCTCGGTTAAGTGTGAGACAACAAAATCTCAAACTATGTCAATTCATAAGAAGAAGCAGTATACCAAATGCAGCTGTTGTGAGTGGTGTCTCACCAGACTGGGCCGATTTCCGAGACGGCATCGAGAAGGTCGTCCTCACTCTGGGACTTTATGTCCACATACCCACTCAGTGAGGTCACACTCGAACAGTAGCTTGCTTTGCACCTCCACATCTGAGAGTAACCAACAGAGTATATAAAACCTTCAAAAGGGACCTTCTGAAAAAGAAAACCTGGACACTTTGTTCTCCCCCAGACTAATACATTAGTGCATTTCACTACCTCTGAATAAAGGACACGATGGTTTCAATGTCACCAGCAAGTTGTCCCTAATTCAGAAGTTTCAATGAAGCGTGTGATAGAATGCTTAGGAGCTGGTGGAAGATAGTGAGCCCTGAGGGGCAAATGTAGTGTGCAACAACATTGGAGGCTCTACATACTATGAAGTGGGAGGGAGGGAGGCTTTCGTCCCCAAGCTTCTAAGGTTCCTCTGCCTTTGGAACTCACCATGAACTCTGAGGCAAGGCAAGTGCACATCCTAAAACTGCACTCGGGATAAGTTCTAGGCAGAAAGCTCCTCCTTGCCTATGTATTTAGCTACTACTCCAGCTCAGCAAGACTTGTTGAGTTCACAACACAACAGGCTGGTTTGCATTAGCTCTGATAAGCACACCAATGCAAGTTTATGTACTGCACTACATAATACGTCAGCAGGTAACACAAAGGATGGCACTTGACTAATCAATCGAGAAGCAAGGTGATAATTGCACAATCTATCCTCACACCTACATGTGTCGCGACAAATCAAAACTTGAAACTAACAAAAAGGCAATGTTCTTATCTCACTTAGTGTGATATGTTCTGTGGGAAGTGTAATGAGATATGCAGCTGCTTTCCAGAGCGTAGAGTGTACGTAACAATACAATATACCACTAACATCTCTATTGAAAACGGTATGTCTCAGAGTTAAAAGGGGGGCCGGGTACACTGGTCTATTGTGGTAATGAATTGAAACTGTGTCATGTTGGCTGTCTCTATTCGTGTGAACAAGGTGGGAAGGGATTGAGAGGGGTGTCATGTGTATAGCCCCTCCACACACTGTTGCTGAGAGTGGCAACAGGCAGGCAGAAGAGAGAAAAGGACGGCAAAGAATTGTGCAAACTCCCCAGATTATCAACATACTACATTCTCCCCTAGAACCTGAAAATATTCTGTAGAAAGGTGGGCCAATGCATACTAACAGACCAAGATCAAGCTCTATAGCTATGGGTGGCTGGGAGATGCACACATCACACAGAGAGAGGAACAAATTGAACCATTATTCACTCCTAAATAGCCTATATACAGTGAATGGATAGTGCTTTCAGTGACTCACATATCCTCTGTAAGGGTAGCTGGAGGCTGAGCAGATGCCACCATTCTGTTTGATGTATTGGAAGGCGTTGTCCATGAGACCACCGTTGCAGCCGGCGTTGCCAGATTTCCAGGAGCAGTCGACGAGCTGCTGCTCACTCAGACTCACCAGTTTACCAGCCTTCTTCCAGTACTGGCCCTCCAGAGCTCCCGTGGCACTGAATGCCCAGCAGGAGCCACACTGTCCCTGGTTCTTTACCTAAAACAGTTGAAATCACTGATAAAAACAATCGCAGAGAGATTATGTATGCTACAGTATGGCATTATTATGACTTGTAGAAGAGAGAAAAGTATCACACCTCAGATGCAAGTATTCATTAGGCCCTCTAAAAGCCCTCGCCCCTCTCTCTGTCTCTCTCGGTGTTCTCTTTCTCCATGCTTTATCATGCAACAATTGACTTCTGATTCGGATTGTACATAAGGGACACAGTTGTTAGCTATCAATCGTGCAGTGTTTTAGCAACCATTAGTGGCTCAAAGGCAGAATGAATGGCAGCTTCTACCATTTTGAAGTACTCAGAGCATAGAGTTCTCTATAGACATCAAACTATATACAGTGACAAGGGTGATTATTGCCACCTATTTGCTCAACATTATTCTCTATGTCTACTAATAGGTTCTGTTTAAAAAGATTTTGCGAATCATTTTTTCTCTGAATGACACATTAAGTGCAAATCATTGCTATATTTTGAATATCTCTTCCTCAGCTTTTTACAGAGACCATGTGCTCCAAAAAGTATGAGCACAAGTCCCATAATAGCTAAAAGTGGTAGGCATGCAATAATTCTTGAGGAACATACTGATGTGACAGCTCCATCCTCCCTCCAGTCTTTGCTGTCTGAGTAAGTGATGGAGTCGGAGACAGTGTGGGTCATTTCAGACTTCCAGATCTGGTTCAAATCGTCCACTGTAGACAGGTAGAGATGGAAGAACTCTTGCTGGGTCTAAAAAAGAGATACAGTCAGTCATAAGTTAGGCATGATTATAACCATATTATCGTCTGAACTAAAATCTAGCTAGCTATAATAATTGCTCCTTGTGGCTACGTAGGCGCAGTTCTCTGCAAACGTACCAAGTCCGCAAACTCGTTCAGCGCCAGTGTGTAGCTCTTGTTGGCGCTGTTGTGCTCCATGATCTTCTTGAGGTTGTCGTACCAGACGAGGCGGCGGGCGTCCTCCTCGTCCTGGTCGTTGTACGTCTTGCTGTGCTGTGCCTTCCACGAGTGCCACTGCGTGTCCAGGCTCGCGGCCAGACCCACGCAGGCGAGACATAGCACTAACAGTAGTCTGCGTATCATGCTCTCGGTGGATATTCGAGACTTTATGATACTAGAAGAATGTTGTTCAGGACTCTGCGAGATCGGCGATTTTATAAGCGCGCAAACTCTCGATCCTGCTGTGCTCGCGCGCATGCGTGGGTTCTAACCGGCCTCCTCTGCTCGATCCCCGCCCCTCGTGAGACACGCCCCCTTTGCCCCAACGACAGTACTCGAGCGCCCTGGATCGATGGCGGGTGGTTTCCTGAGTCTGTGCGTGCTGGCAGTGTTGTCAGGCTACCTGCAAGCACAGGAGATCTCGGAGCACGACCTCTACGTCACGCAGTCGTGGCGATCCGACTCGCGGGCCGTGGTGGTTCGCGCGCAAGGTGAGCCACATCTCACCGTGCAGACGTGTCCGCCACTCTACCTCAGACAGTTCGCGAGCATTCTAACGATTATGCATCGGATGTACATATGGTGTGCACTAACACTCGATAACAGTCCGTTTTCAGTAGCACTGTGTGTGTGTGTGTGTGTTTGCCCACAATATAGCTGGATGATGCATTCACTTACTGAGTGGCTTGTCGCACTGTGCTAGTAACACTATTTCTGGACGAGCTGCTAGTTGCAGTATGGCACCATGTGAATGTACTCAACAGTAGCTACATGTATTGCCTAGACGCTGCAACCACGCGGAGTTTGGTTACTTTAGAAGTTGGGGAAGTGGGCAGTTACGTGTGGTGGAATGAATGTGGTTTTTCGTACTCTCTTTCAGTTCTACCCACTGCCTTCCTTTATTCCTCTCCCTCTCTCTGTCCCCTCTCTCTTCTTCTCTCTTCCCCTCCCTCCCTCCCTCCCCCTCCCCTCCCCCTCCACCTCTTCCTCCTTCTTGTCATAGAGAATGTTGTTCTAATGGAACAGTGGCTTGAAGATACAAATATACCAGTTTCACAGGTATGTATACGTATTAGACATCAGACGCAGATGTATTGCATTGGAGGGAATCCATTTTTCACCAGTGGTATGCTGCCCCTTGGTATATACCACCTAGTATTGTATAAAGGGAGTATAATACAATGCCTTTTTATAAGTGTAAGTGAGTAGGATAGACTGTTCTCTTCACTGGATTATGTCATGAGATTATCGCCTCTTGGTTCCAATAATATCTTGTTACCCACGGGCTGTAACAATAGTAAGACGTGGAGGAAGAAAGGATGGACTAGAAAACAGTTGTTTTTTTATAAAAAAACCTCGGCTCTACCTGTTGGGGTTAACTCAAAGCATGAAATTGAAGCTGCGCTCTTGCCATATACATATCTTGCTATTTCTCTTTCAGAAAATAATATCCGTCCGTGCCAGCTTTTACATGCTTTCGTCACTCCTTTCTTTTCACTTATGATTTGTTTTCCTGTTTTCTTTATACAGGTAAAATGTGAGGCTTCTTCGGGATCTGAACTTTGCAGACTCCTGTCTACCAATGTTGCCGTGGTGAGGAAAAATGGGCGTGTCCTGGTGGGTGTGGACAAAGAGAGCATCAACAACAACACAGTCGCGTCTGTCATGGAGTGAGTCATCACTGAGATTGTAGAGAGGGTGTTGTAGAAGGGAGGAGATGAGGGGTTAGTGACGCTTACGTTGCCGAGTTGTGCGATGAAAATCAAAACGATTACACAAGTATAAATCCAGTTTATTCTGGTAAAGGTTTTTCAGGTAAATGTATAGTTCAGATGCCAAAAACGTTGATTTACGCACTGGCCTTGATGGGCACCGCCATGGTTTCCTAAGTGCCAGTGGTATGGTGGACCAAAGTGGCACTGATCACCCATCATAGAGTCGGCCAATCAACTGCAGCTCAGTTCATAAGCAGGTTATCAACAACTCTGGCCAAATGCTGGAATTTTTGGCAAGTAATTCTGTAGTGCTTTTAGACCCTCTCTCCCCACAGACCCCTCTCTCCACAGACCCTCTCTCACCAGACCCTCTCCCCCCAGACCCTCTCTCCCCAGACCCTCTCTCCCCAGACCCTCTCCCACAGACCCTCTCTCCCCACAAGAGGCTCTGTCTATCATTGTGTGCCATAGTTGTGGGTATTCAAATTTCATTTCCTTGGCACACAACATGTAATATTGTGCATGTATGTGGTATCAGACAATGATCCAGTTTATAAAACTATAACCCTGGATGAGAGCTCTAGCCGGCTACTAGGCTTCCCTACGTTTTGTTGTTTTGCGTTTTGTTAATGAGTCATCTCTGTATTGATGTCTTCAGTATCACACACACAGTAGTCATAGCCCGATGCCGCACGATGCAGCTTTACCGTGTGAGTGAAGTCAACCTACACCTGTTTGCGAATTGTGTTTCATTATCGAGCTGGGCTGTAACTGTCACACACCACGGCAATAGCAATCGTTGCGTAAAGTATCATTGGCGAAGAGTTTCATACAGTGTCTGAGTCTTTCCGAAACACATTGACTGGTGGTACATTTCACATTCATCTTCCCCAAACTGTCGAATTGGGACTAATAAATTTCCGTCACAGTGGCCTGAATGGTCCGTGTGTGTGTGTGTGTGTGTGTGTGGTCTAACATTGACCCTGTATCCAGCTCTTGGTACCCTCACCTTTCTTTGAGCCTCCTACATGTGTGTGTGTGTGTGTGCACCAGACCATGGGAGATAGCTTAGCCACACATTGCCTCACATACAGTATCATCACTGTACATTATATCAAGTTAGTACCATGGAATTTGATTTAGTACTGGCTTTACTCGGCTGTTTAATGGCACAGCAAATCCCTTGAGATACGAAACAAGCATGGCCGTGGTGTGTACGTATACATACATACATGCAACAGTATTGTCAGATACGTGCAGAGAGTAAAATAAGGAGAGGTTTTGATTTGGCTGTGTTTGTTGGCCAATACCTCTTGTGTTTTAGTGGGACAATTCCAAGACCTGAAACACTGACATTGAGAAGGCCAGTGGCGGCAGCAATAATAATCATGTTTGCTCTTACGAGGGCTGGGCATATTTATTGTACCATTATAACTAAGAGAAACATTAGGGGGATAGAACTTTCTCTAATCAGTTTAAAAAGAAAATTTTACGCAAGTAACCTCATCCTGTCTATATTAAATGCGAGAACAGCCTTCTTGGATATATCTTACACCTCACAAAGTTTTTCGCCATCAATAGTGATGATGGGTAGAGCAAGATGTTGTGTCCAACCAGGTTCGGTATTATGTTCCTTACACGAATAATGTTAGTTTCCTTCTCTTAACTTTTACTGTTGTATTCAATGGACTAGTGTGTGTAACACTGGTGTGATTGACCTAAAGCCAAGTGTGATAGGCTCTGACAAAACAACCCTCATCTGAAGCTTTCGCTCCTTTCCATTCCACAATTACCGCTCCGGGAACCAGGCACATGCTGCTACCTGAACGTGGAGCGATGAGAGTTTTTTCTCAGAGCCTATATGTCACAAATGGTTCGGTTACTGTCTCTGGTTTGAGCAAGATGCATCAGGCTCTTATTCAATCAGGCGAAATGGGAGGTTAATTATTTATGGCTAGACCAAGTACTGTGCACCCACACATCCAACCACACACCGCGTGATAACATTCCTCACCCATTAATGTTGACATTTGTCATAATGTCCAGATAGCATACGTATGGTGGTATGAATAGCATAAGTATGGTGGTATGAATAGCCATAAGCATCACATGTTTATAATGTTGTTGTCTCCTTGTCACTAAACTAACTGATGTTGAGGTTGAAAGTGGTACTATATGCCGTGTGACTATTGATAGATACATAATGCACACCTTCCCTTGCATGTGGTACATACGTAGCTGACGGGACAGATAGTGAATTCACTCACGACTCGTGACCGCATCACTGCTAATAGGAACCACATTGCAGGGGGAAGACTCTGTAAATCGTGTATGTATGAAGAGGTATTATCACATCTCTGTCACGTTTTCTTTTGGTGCTACGCTCTCTATGAAGGTCTGGGTGTATATGTAGTTTAATCACTACGCTCTATGAAGGTCTGGGTTTATATGTAGCTTAATCACTACACTCTGTGAAGGTCTGGGTTTATATGTAGCTTAATCACTGCGCTCTATGAAGGTCTGGGTTTATATGTAGTTTAGTCACTACGCTCTATGAAGGTCTGGGTTTATATGTAGCTTAATCACTACGCTCTGTGAAGGTCTGGGTTTATATGTAGTTTAGTCACTACGCTCTGTGAAGGTCTGGGTTTATATGTAGCTCAATCACTACGCTCTATGAAGGTCTGGGTTTATATGTAGTTTATTCACTACGCTCTATGAAGGTCTGGGTGTATATGTAGTTTAAACTACACTCTTTGAAGGTCTGGGTGTTTGGATTTGAGGGGCCAGTTGTAGGTAATGAATACTAGTACTAGTCTTCACACATCCAATTGAAAATCTCTATTCACAGTCAGGTGACCACGTTTTTTGGCCGTAGGGGGATTTAGCACCATCACGTACATGATAATGTGGGACCACTTGTATGTCAAATGTCAAAAGTTATCTGAATGTCTTGTAATTGATGCCACCCCTCTCTTCTCTCCCTCCCTCCCTCCCTCCCTCCCTCCCTCCTTCCCATCTCTCCCTCAGAAACCTATTTGGTCCAGAGTTCCACCTCATTGAGGACTACACTGCAATGAAGGAGTTCCAAGACGGCCATCCTCAGCACATGTTGGTGTATGCCAGATCCTACAGGGAGGCAGCATTTGAGAGTTAGTCACTGTGCCTTTTTTCTCTATCAACTAATAATTGTTTGCGAGTGACATATTTGGCAATGTTAGAGAACGGCTATTTGCGTGTGTCTAAAATTAGTTCGACGGCTGGTCATAGAACCCATGTGATTCCTGGAAGCCCCCGAGCCCTGTAGTATAGTATAGCGTCTCGCTGCGTTCACAATGCCACAGCCCCAGGGCCTCGACTTCCTAAACCTGCTTAGAGTGAGCTAGGTTCGAATTGACCAATCAGATTGCAAAGCCGAGGTTTACTATTTCCCGTAGTAAACCTCGACGGGGTTTACTACATGTAGTAAACCTACAGAAACTACAAAACCTACAGATAAAACAGGAAAACATAACAAAATGTACATGTAAACTGCAAGATCAACAACTGAATCTACATTGACGCGTCGTCCAGGCGCACGCGCAGACCCCCCTGCGCGCAGACCGTCGAGCGCGCACAACCAGAAAAAGAAGGCGGAGTCGCTACCGCGGCCACTTCGCTACCTCTTCTTGCACTGCATTTTCTGGCGCTCTGAGCCTGTTTTCATCGAGTTATCGTTAGAAGCGCTCCACCATACGAACGAACAGGAAAGCCAGAGCGCTCAACGTGAAGCGCTCACTCTAAAATAGTTAGACGCTGATTCCTCGGTAACCACGCGCCGGTAGAAAGCCTCGTGCCCCGGGGGTAGCGCCCTCGCTGCGCTCGGGGCGCCACAATGCCGGGGCTCTCGGCTTTCTACTTCGCGTAGTTACCTCGAATCAGCGTCTAACTATTATGTAGTTTCCTATGACTCGTTTTTTATATTACTTCAATGGAATGTGGCAGTATGAACTGTTACTCAAAACGGAATCTTAATTGAATTTTCTTGCACTGGTTCCTATTGTTTAGTAGTAGCGTTTCTAAATTTAGTAATTCCATTTTCCGGCACCTCTTTCTTTCCTCTCTCTCTCTCTCTCTCCACCTCTCCCCCCTCCTTCTCTGGCAGATTATCTCTATTTCCTGAAGGCACTGCTGTCAGTACCGGACAGGCCCACACATGTAGCCGTCACCAAACAGCCACTGGCCCTCCCTCTCTCACAGAGACCCAAATTCAGCAAGACAGCCGAACTCTTTATTTGGTATGAAAACACACACACATCACCGTGTCTTGTAATTGGTGAGCGAAGTACGGTTTTTATAATTATACTATGACCACACTTTTGCAAATACCGTAATTCTACGTATGAAATGAAATTGGAAATTTTGCAAATGTGTATGCTGTGCACATGTAACTCTAAGGTTTGCTCGCAAAATGCCATTCATTCTTTCTTGTAATAAGTAAGTAATAATTATACAGCTGTGTTTGTCTCTCTGCAACATAATCTTCCTTCTATCCACGTGCGCGTAGATTTTGTGTTTATTAAACAAATACTGTTTTGTTGTCTATTATGTCCTCAGTTTCTGTTAATACTTTTCTAAGTTTTTGAAGCAATACTCTATTGTGATAATTATGATGCCTTATACTGGGCCACTTCAGAGGCAAAAAAACACTTTTTAACTGCTATCAACCCATTTCACTCTGTGCAGCAGGGAAAAAATTGCAACTACAAGTAGTCCAAGACTATGAGTTACGCGGAGAAAAATTTGCATGGATTGCCTGTCAGACCCTGAAAAAAAAAGCGAAATATTTTTCCACAAAAGTTGCTCTCGCACATTACACTGTTGTGTTGTGTTGTCCACTAGGTTAGTGTCGGACGGGAAGTGGTGTCAGTATTCCAACTCGTCTCATCCTTTCCACATTGTCGGCGGGATTGCCGCCTTCTACAACAGAATCAAAATACCTTTCAAGGTTGGTACATACACCAGTGCAGTTACCAGAATGTGGCCAATGTACATACACCAGTGCAGTTACCAGAATGTGGCCAATGTACATACACCAGTGCAGTTACCAGAATGTGGCCAATGTACATACACCAGTGCAGTTACCAGAATGTGGCCAATGTACATACACCAGTGCAGTTACCAGAATGTGGCCTTGGAATGTGGCCTGGGAACGTGGCCTGGGAACGTGGCCTGGGAACGTGGCCAAAGCTACTGCAGTACATCACGTGTTGCATTACTTAATATTATTCCCAGGAAACGGTTTCTTTTTTTGGCCTCTCTAGCTACTATTAATACGTGTCGTTGGTAGATCTACGTACATGTGTATCATCTTAGGAATCTCCCAGCATGTTCATAACGGGCCTTGTGGGTCACACCAGAGGGGTCTCTGTTTGTGTGTGTGTGTGTGTGTGTAAAGGTATCATCAAGGTATAAGATACTGCTCATAGAAGACAGATCTAAATGTGCTCGCTGCATCTAAGAATTGCTAACAGAAGTTTCATGTCGCATCTATAGTTCTGTGTTCTTTCCCTTCCATTCCACTTACTTTCTCTCTCATTCCACTTTCTTCCCTACCCGTTCCTCCTTTTATCCTTTTATCCTTCTCACTCTTCCTTCCCCTCTTCTCCCAGCTCCGCTACATGAGTGACCAGCTCACCAGTGAGTACCAGGACAAGGGTCTGTTCACAGCCTATGTCATTCATTCCCCTGCCAACAAGAAGCTGGCAGAGAGAGTGGTGGGAGATTTCATTGGGACTTACTGCAACTTCTTCGTGTTCCTCATTGTTGAAAAGTCAGTCGTCCTTCACCCTCTGTTTATGTAACTATACAACCTCACCTGGTGCTGTAATAGTTACTGTGCACCCTAACATGTTAGTTAAGAGAATGCATGTTCAATTAGTGCTCATACAATGTACATATATGGCATATTGCAAGTGTACGTAATTGTTTACTCTGTGTGCAGGACCAGTCGGAAGAATAGGCTAACACAAGCCCTCTATCTGTCGGCGGGAGAGAACAACATTATTGTCATTGAACCTCCAGTTACCGTAAGTCCCCCCTCCCCCCTCTCTCTCCTCCTCCTCCCTTCCCCTTCCACACTCTCTCTCTCCCCCTCTTTCAATCTTTTCCCTCTTCTTCTCCTTCTCTTTTATCCCTCTTCCATCCCCTTTCTTCCCCTCCCCCCTTTCTCTCTCTCTCTCTCCTCTCTCTATCTTTCCATCCCCCCATCTTGCTTCTCCTCCCTGCTGTCCCTTTCCCCTTCCACTGTTCTCTCGTTCCCTCTCTTCCCTTTCCCAACTTCCTTTCTATCCCCTCTTCCCTCTCCTCTTCCCTCTCCTCCCCCAGGACATGCCTCCCATTCATCTCAATCTGCTGGGTATCGAGGAGCAAGACATGTTGACAATGCTGGCTCCAATACAAGAGGAATACACACAGTATGTTCTCTTCTCCTGTAACATTTCAACAATGCCCTCAACCCCGCTTACCCATGGTTTATTTGCAAATGAAGTGTGCCCTCCAACGTAACTATATAGTCTGAATGCAGATTTTTCTGTATGTGCACAGGCACTGGTACATACACACGTAAGTTATACGAGATTTGAATTCTGTAGTGAAAATCAAAAAAAGCTGGAGCCTATTAGTGGTGTCCATAAACTTCATTTCAATGTACGTAGGTATGTTTCCATACATTGTACGTGCCATCCGAGTTGCCACGGTAATTAGCTCAGGTGACTGCAGAGTTGCTACGGTAATTAGCTCAGGTGACTGCAGAGTTGCCACGGTAAGCTCAGGTGACTGCAGAGTGGCGTGGGTTCTAGTCCCACATAGCTCTTTTTGTTGGATGGGTGTTGTTCCGGTGTCGTTGATTTACTTTCAATATCTCTTAATTCATAGTAATTATACAGATGATCTGTTACTGGAAGATACACTAATAATAGTATTAAAGATGCTGTTAATGAACTTTTAACGAAACAGTGACCGAGTGTCAATTTCTCTTAACACACCAGTCGCCTCTCATTAGGTAACGTCGTTCCCTCTCCGCAGGCAGTATATGGCAAACCCTGAGACTGGGAAGCCAGTCAAACGGAGGAGAAAGGTCGTGTTGACCGATCCTCGTACCATCGGATACCTGGCTGTGGACGCTCAGGAAGACATGCTGGTCGCCTTCTGTGATGAAAGTTAGTCCGAATTTTTAGATTCGACCCCTCACAGTGCTCTAAACTTTAAGTAATCTGTGCGAAGGCTCTATATACATTTGCACTCTTTTCTGCTGTTTACATGCATGCCTTCTGTTCTAGAGCCATAAAAAGTTGACAAGGTGTCTGTTTAATTTGGTCGGAAGCTCTGCTGCCTTAGCGTGGCCTTTGTTATGTTTGTATGCACCATTATTGTATTACACTACGCCTTTTGCAAGGGTCCCAGACAGGTCACCTGCTTGGGTTCATTGCAAGGGTCCCAGACAGGTCACCTGCTTGGGTTCATTGCAAGGGTCCCAGACAGGTCACCTGCTTGGGTTCATTGCAAGGGTCCCAGACAGGTCACCTGCTTGGGTTCATTGCAAGGGTCCCAGACAGGTCACCTGCTTGGGTTCATTGCAAGGGTCCCAGACAGGTCACCTGCTTGGGTTCATTGCAAGGGTCCCAGACAGGTCACCTGCTTGGGTTCATTGCAAGGGTCCCAGACAGGTCACCTGCTTGGGTTCATTGCAAGGGTCCCAGACAGGTCACCTGCTTGGGTTCATTGCAAGGGTCCCAGACAGGTCACCTGCTTGGGTTCATTGCAAGGGTCCCAGACAGGTCACCTGCTTGGGTTCATTGCAAGGGTCCCAGACAGGTCACCTGCTTGGGTTCATTGCAAGGGTCCCAGACAGGTCACCTGCTTGGGTTCATTGCAAGGGTCCCAGACAGGTCACCTGCTTGGGTTCATTGCAAGGGTCCCAGACAGGTCACCTGCTTGGGTTCATTGCAAGGGTCCCAGACAGGTCACTGCTTGGGTTCATTGCAAGGGTCCCAGACAGGTCACCTGCTTGGGTTCATTGCAAGGGTCCCAGACAGGTCACCTGCTTGGGTTCATTGCAAGGGTCCCAGACAGGTCATCTGCTTGGGTTCATTATCCAAAATGCATTACTTTCTTTCTCTATAACTAGAAGAATGCAACACATTATTGGCAAAAGAAGTGAGCAGTTTATAAATTTTTTTTACTGTTTAACGCGTATTTCGAATCACGTACAACATTACAGTATGTGCAGTGCCCGTCACATAAAATTTAGATTTTAGAAAAATCGCCCGTTCAAAACACTAGGTGCTCGCCAATAATCATGCTGTTTCTTTTTCTCCCCAGAGGACCAGCAGGTGTGCGCCCATTTTGAGAACTCTATTCAGAAGGTTGCTGACATCATCACCACCTCAATGTACCAGAAACAGGAGATTGGGTTCTCCCTCGTTCGCTGCTCCTCTCTGGAAGAAGTACAGAGATACGGAGTGAGTTACAGCCTCCACTTGGAGAGGAATCCGAGAGCTTTTTAGTTGTCACTTTACTGAATGAAAGATGACGTTGTCCTTTTTGTAAGAATCTTCTGGACTGCATTACAAGGGGATTTAAATTGAATTTACTGAGAAGATACTCTATTAGAATGTACTGTTAGAACTTTCTCATGGAAAGGCCAGCTTATTTGCTCATGAGAAGGCTACATCATTATCATTATCCCCTTTATCAATGAGATGAAGAAAGATGAAAGGAAAACATGCGGCCGGTGCCCCATTGTGCCATTGCCGCATTGCGAGAATAGAATCTACATATCTATCTTCGCGCCAACGCGACGCGGCGCAGCATTGCAACGTAATTATTGTGGACACTACGTACATACACATAGCCTTGTTACTAATGGGAATGTGGCGGTATGCAAAAACTGACTTCTGTTAAACACGGAAACCTGTATAATTATTATAATGCACTGTTTACTTCTACATTTTCTGAAACATTTTAAGATTTAGAAGCTCATCAAATCAGTACCACTTGCTCTGGTAAACCCACGCCTGTTTGTATGCACAGGTGGATGACTTTCCGCAAATATCCTACTACAACGTGAGCGACGGTCGCTGGTCTGAGGTCCAGGAACACAACTTTCAGGAAATCATCCAAAGAGCCCTCGGAAAGTAAGCCACCAGACTCCGCCCACATTTAAGGTCACCATCATCTCACTCTATTCTTAAACTCGTAGCACCCATACTAAAACTAATTTTCCACCGGTGTTGGTACATGCAAACTTACAACAATAAAACTCCGCCCCTCCTCCCATGCCCATGCCCCAGTGTGACAAGTTCAGTAATAATTATTTTTACCCGATAGTTGCTCATAGGGAATTCCACAGGCTCTCTCCCATCCCAACCACAAAACATAAATGGGTCTGTAAAACTTGATAAAATTAGCACACGAACAGACTGTGGATGCTGCAAGCAAAAATGATTGCTGGCAGGCGAGGAAAAAAACAGTGTGATTTGGCACACGGCAAATTGTAGGTGTCCTTGCACACAAAAATCACATGAGAATTGCCTACGTAGCTGTGCCAATGGTCCCCGGAAATTGGAGGGAATGTGGCAGTATTAGTAAAGCTAAAGTTAGTAAAAACGGAAACCTAATTGCATTCTTGCACTGGTCACCATTGTTTAGTTCTATCTTTAGTAACATTCCTAATTTTAGCCCTTATGTACTGACACATTCCATTTACTAAAAATAATGTATGTGTGTATTATGTGTGCAGACCGGAGGAGTCAGAAGAGGAAATGGCATTGAGGAAAGAGGGAGAAAAAGTGTTTGAAGAAGAGCAGAGGAAGTTCCTCAAAGAAGACAACACACCAGGTCTGTAGCTACTGAGTAGCTCTGGTCCAAACTGTCGGCGAATTTCCAGATTCATAATATTGGCAGACTTGCATGCGACTGCTACACATGTACCAGTGTCAGTATAATTACAACAAATTCCTTCTACCCACACTCTATCTATATATATATGTAACAGACAAGAAGAAGTTGAGAGAGGCTGACAAGAAATCTCGAGAGTACAGTGAAGACCCACCACGCCCACCGCAAGAGACCACGCCTCCTCCCGAGCAGCAGCAACAACAACAACAACCTCCTCCTGACCAACCACCTGCCGCTTCCACTCCGTCGAGTAACAATATACAGAGCCGGGCCGTCGTTGAGGAAGACGATCATTTCGGTCAGCTGTCGTTCAGTCTTGGTACTCCGGAGTACCCCGAGGAGCTGACTCTGTCGGACGAGAGTTTTGGAGTGCACATAAACAGTTACTCCACTACAATGGTCACCTTCTACGTCCCCTGTAAGATAATGCATGCATACTACAGGGGGACCTCCGATAATGAACTCCCTCAACAGCGAAAACCTCTCTCCAATGAATGTGTATATACCAATTGTATACTCTTATACATCTCAATACAGAAAACTTCCGAATTCCCAATCTTTCATTATTTGGAGGTCTCACTGTATGTGTATGTGTGTGTAGGATGTGAGTTGTAACTCAGCCTGTAGTTGTTCAGAGGGTGGTTGGTGTGCTTAGCTCTTCTCTGCTATTTCTTTTGCTGGGGGAACTTCTTCTACTGATGTACCTTGGAACTTTAATCCCACATTTTTAAACCTGTTTGTAAATCGCTTTGGTTTGCTCCTGTTTCCAAAAAAAGAGTTGTTTAAACCTCATTGGGGCCCAGATTTGTCACGCAATAACGTATTAGCCCACCCTACACGAGTGGCACAGGCAGTAAGGTGGCGAGCTCCCACTGTACACTAATATATAGAATGGTGATTCTGTGATCACATTAAAGTTTTTGCAATGGGAGCATACGTGTGTGTTTTGATTACCTATCTGCACAGGGGAGCCCCACTGTGATGGAGTGATGCACTACATGCTGCAAGCCATGGACGACCTCCCTGAAGGTACATACATAGTCTCTCACAGAATAAGACGTAACGCAAATTTTTCACGCAATACATGATCATTTAAACAGAGAAATTCACCGCTAGTGAACCTTCAAGCTGGTAGTCTTGTGCGTACTAAGTTCACAATATTGCCAAATTATGCCGCGGTGCTGCAGTCAAACAAACATCTAAACCAACACTCAGTGTACAGTGTTACACATGAAGCATGACCAATTATGTGCCTACAATACTTTGTAGAAATGATCAGTTATGAAAAGGTAGCTTAATCGCAAATCACTAAGCCATGCCCATCACTTCTCAATAACATGTTCTATACCATTAGCAGTGTATGTATCCTACAATCAATATATGCGTGTTCCCAAGTGCCATAACCAGTACTCAGACACTTACATATTGTATAGTTTTTTCAACCTACATAATAATAGTATAATAATGCTCTTTATGTCCCTCCCTATAATTATTATAGGTTCAGACAGTAGTATGGCAGTTGTGAACTGTGCAGACTATCCCGACCTGTGCAGTAGCTATGGCATCGTTACCTACCCGACAGTCCTTCTATTTAGAGCCTCCCCTAACGACTGGATACCGTATAAGGGGATGATGGACTCGAGGCAGATGCTAAAGGCACTACTGCATCAACAGGCAGAAGACACTACGGAACACGGATTGGTAACACATAACTATCGGTGGAATCTTTGAGCAAAGGTTTAGGTTAGCAAGAGAGGGGTTTAACTGGAAGCTTAGTAAAAGGTTAAACCATTGTTTTTTGGTACCATAAATCTGGGTGAAAACATTAGGTACCCCTATCCACAGAGTAACACAAGCCATGTGTGTTGCGTAATCTTTTAAGCCGTAACATTAATTTTCATGCACTAAAATTTCTCAGAGTGAACTTTTAGGTGAAGTATTTTTTTAGCACAATGATACACACAAAGTGTGTCACAAATTACTCTACTTTCATGTGACCGTGTTTGCTAAAAGCAGGTGTTTAGTAATGTGTATATACACATGGCTAATTGGACTGTAATTCAATTCGGGCAAGTCTGGGAAATGTTTTTACACGTCTAATGTCGCTCTCTCTCAGGCAATGATGTCAATGATTTTACCCAAATTCATCAATAGCTGCATGCACCTTACAGGCTCATACACACCACAAAGCCTGGTTTCCGTGTACACAATATAATGTGTGTGTGTGTCCACAGTTGGAACTGACGGCAGAGACACTGCCTCTGCTGATCCCTCGGGGAGCTCTGTCACGGACTGTGCTGGTGGTGTGGGTGGGAGAGAGGGGAGGGGAGGGAGGGGAGGAGGTGGCGGACGGGAGGAGAGAGCTGTCGTCTCTAGCTGCCTCTGGGGAGTTGGAAAACTACTCTTTTGCCTGGATGGACTGGTGAGAAATAAAAAGGGAGGAGCTGATTTAGTAAACAATCTAGATGTTTGTATATCGAGGTATTGGATTTTCAAAAAAGGAAAATTACAGATGCGCTTGTAGTGTAACTGACCCTGTTTTTTGGCACAAACGGCACCTCGTTCTTTCCCGCTCTCTTCTTTCTCGCTTCCCATTCAGTAAGGACCACAAGGAGCTGCTATTGAAAATTGTTCCAAAAGATTTCGAATGCGAGTCACTTCTTCTCATTGACTTCCAGCAGGTCAGTAATTGTCAGCAGTAGGATTTGTATGTATTTGAAGAGCTCCAACACTATTATTTCAACCTTCTACCTCTCTCTCTCCCTCCCTCCTCCCTCATTCTCCAGCGCTCAGTCTACCAGCTACCTCCCACAGAGTGGCTGACTCACGACTCTCTGCCAGTGGCCATGTCTGACTTTCTCTCTCGCTACACCTCTGGCGCCCTTCCACCCACCAGTCAGTTATAATACTAATTTTGGACCACGCCCTTCTCACAAAGTTTAAACTGGATGAGTGAAAGCTTTCTGTATGGAAGAAAATTTTAACACACCAGACATTTCTAAGACCTTGCTTTCGCTACACCATATCTGAAGACCAGCTTTAGAGGGCCACATCTAAAACTATACATGCAGTAACGTTTCCCTTTCACAATCACTATTATCTAACCGTTGCTCATTCAGGTCACCTGACAGATTGGACTTGGCCACCTCTACAACCTCCCATCTACTTCCCAAGTGCCAGAAGAGGCCAAAAGGATATTGGGGGCACATCTCCACCCTTTCCCCTCTCCCCACTATCACACCCCATATTTCCCCAAGCAAGGACTCATCCTTTGCCCCTCCTCAGCCGCATGCTCACACTGAGCTGTAATGACTGCCGTTTTAGTGTATTTTTAGCAGTTGATTTCAACAGATAGGTTCGATTTTACTGCAGGTCATTGGCAAGCAGGAGCAAGCGATATACGTTACACTGAACGACAGCCAACATTCGCTAATAAACGGGCACCCGACCCACCCCTCCCAAGCAACAAGGCTTGGGGAATTTAATGGCGTAGCGGCGTAGCCAAGTACGCGAGCGCGGAATCAGGGCCGGCGGCCAAGTCGCGCGCGCATGCACACGGTGCAGCCGCCATAATGGAGACAGTTACCGAATTCTAGCTAAAGACTTCAAGCAGCTTTTAAAACTGCAAACAGATTCCAGCCACAACTACTGCCCTGTTGATGTTGCCGTGCGTTATTTGCCCCAGACGCGAATATTACAGCTATATATAGCTTGACTACTTTTGTACTGGCGCGCGCATTCACTGTTATATAGTACATAGCTGGCGCAAAATAATACTAAAAGTGCAGTTGTGATAACAACAAGCTATCGTGACCTAGATCAATCGCTCTATATAATATAACCCTCGGCGCGCATGCGCATCGAGGGTTAGTTTGTCTGTGTGTGTGTGTGTGTGTCGACGCGTATTCTGGCACTACAGGCTACGAGGCGGCCCATTAGCGATACCAGCGGCTTCAGTACACGAGCCTGAAAAATAAAACGGCGATTTTCCTTAAACGACTGCGTTCGAGAGCGACAAACTGGTTGCGTGGCCCAATCTCCATCAATAAGCGGTGCGCATGCGTAGATCAACGCAGCTCCACCTCGGTCTGATCCGCTGCTCTGTACCTGGAGGCACAAGAAGCCACCGCAAAGGCGCGTGTATCGACTCCCGCATGCTATCTAATACCGTAGCTAGCCCGTGGCAGACTCTCCGCGGGCTTCTAGCGGGAGGGACCGCGGGTAACGCTAATAGCCGGCCTAGCCCGGCCATTTAGCGGCACCGCGCATGCGTAGTTCGCCGAGGGTTTGCACTTTAGTGCTTTTCATTATACTAGCAAAAAATTTCATGAAAAAGTGCCAAAGTAGTTATCTAACATGTAGGCATTTAGATGACAGTCTCCATCTCAAGCAGAGCGTCATTAGCAGATTCTGCAGCAGCTTTCTTGGCTTTCTCCCTCTTCTCTCATCTTTATGTTTCTTCCTCCTCATCTTCATCTTCTCAGCTTCATCATCGTCTCCCTCCAGAAATCGTGGCAAGAGTTTGGACTTGAATAGCCACACGAGTGGAGAAGAGAGGAGGAGAGATGGCAGAACTGACACTCCAAACAGAATAAGGGGGTTGTCGCTAAAGCTGCCAGAGACCAGGAGCTGATAGAGCGAAACGAAAGGGACAGAGATAATCAGAATAAACACCAGTGTTATGGTGGTTGAAGAGAGATAGAGGATGAGTCTTCCTGTTGTGGGTGGCTTCTCTTGTCCACAGGAAAACAGCCATGACGTAGCCAGACAGTAGAGAGCAAAGGCTACAAAAATGAACTGTACGCACAAACATCCTAAACGGGTAGATAAAGGTTTGAAGAAGAACGGGAACTGCACTAAACGACAGGAGGGATGCCGACAAAATACTGTCATGTAAAGGATGTAGATGGCTAAAAAACGATTGCAATTCCTGATAACTCTTCAAGACTCCGGGCAGGGAATCAGCCAGCGAAGAGTCTCAAGGAGATGGATCCATACATTTCGAATCTTGCGGACCTTCAGCAGAGGACTCAAGAAAAACTGTAGGAAAAAAGGCAAGAAGAAGAATGAAGGTGCTGAAAAACGGTATCGAGACTACAAAAAGCACGCCATTCGGGAATGAATATCTCCGCGTGTCGAGTCTTTCCCTGGAGAAACCGCACTAGGATAACAACAAAGGCAACAATCATATAAACCCACATCCACACGATCCACGCCATTTTGTGTACAGCAGCTGACTCGGTACAGCTATTCTTGTACAAACACCAGATGCACAGGTTCACCATTTCAAAGAGTAAAAGGAAAAAGTTGACTTGAGTAAGAATGGCAACACCACTCCAGATGACGCTGTAACTGAACAAAAAGTTCTTTTCCTCGCTGTTTGCCGGAGCAACGTTCCACAGGGCATAGTAGACTCCAAAGCTGATCATGAGAGTAAGGACAACCGACAGGATCAAGTTTAGGTGTGGTAGACTATTGCTCGATGGATATGCAATAGCAATGTATTTCCACCACTGGTCTATGAAGACGTTCCCTAGTAAAGCGTATCCCCTCTCCTCTGCTCCCCAAGACGATACATTCTCTTGTGAGTCTGCATACACCTTGAGCTGCGACAAGAACAATCAACAATATTCATAACTTGAGACTAGGGTTTACCCATAATGATGCCCTCTAGGTGATATAATAGCTAAGTAGCATACTTAAACATAAACATTACCCTTTACAGGCATTATAATCTTACAGGATATGGGCGTGGTGAAATATAGAAAGTGGACACCGCCACATAACTATGCACCGCTAGTTTCAAGCTACGTACAGCTAGCTATGAGACTTACAACGGACGTAAGATCGTACAGACTTCCCTCCAGTGCGTATACCGTAGGCCAGCACGGTAGCTGCAGGTCTATTGCCACCTCCACAGTAAGTATGGGTCCCACTGTAGGCCAGGTTAGAGCAGTCGGGACCGAGTTAGTGCTGTAGATACCGTCGAATCTGGCCAGTATCGCTTGAAGCAACTGCGGCTGGAGTCTGTTGACGGTCGCCGGATGGAACAGGGTGTAGAAGATTTTGGAGCTCCATGCGTGGACCTTCAGGAAGCGGCGAACTGCTTCGGGCAAGTGGTCGTAGCGAGGGTTGGTCGACGATTCGGGGTCCCCAGGACACGAACGGTTGCGCACCGATGAAACTTTGAGGTCGTAGCTGACGTTCACCAGAGCGGGCTGCGTCTGTGACGTCGGATAAAACACTTTGCGGAGAGAATAGAGGTTTGCGTCCGAGTCGACAATCTGTTTCTCCAATCGCCTGAAAATCTCGGAGCAGATCGAGTCTTTCGTCGAGACGAAGTTAGAGCATGGGAACTGCGGTTGCTGGGTCCTGCCCAGGCTCAGGACACCCAGAACTGCAACGATCTTGAGGAAGGTCATGGGCAAAACAAGTAAACAGCTACCCGGACAGACGCGATCAGGGACGGCTAGTTTTATGCGCAGCGCCCTCGCTAGTGGGCGTGGCTGCAGTCGGCAAGTTAGTAGGGTAGTTGTGGAAGCTAGGTAGTTGACGGAACCTTTCGTGCACTGTAAATTCCGTTATGTATAGTCTAGGTTTAACACATCAAAGGGTGTAGAGGAAATAGTGCGTAGTATGTTGTTTCGACACGCCAGGATTCATCAGTTGATGTTGCGCAATACTAAATAACACATTTGCCATTATAGAGACCTTGGTATGTCAAAACAGCACAGGGATAAGCATGTTGTATATTATAATAGTGATTCAGGCGGAGATTTACGGTGAAGGTTCAACTCTAAAAAATTAAATCAGCATGCTGAAAAAATATGTTTGTGGAATTACGTAGAGCTATAGCTATACACAGTCATACAGCAAAATGACAGTCGGACATACACACGCTTGTTGGGAGAAGAGATTGGCAGCGCATTCTCTTTGTGCAAGTCCGAAAGTGGAAGCTCGCTCCGCAGTTTCGCCGGGCGAGGATCATTGGACGGCAGAAGCGCTCGTGAATTTTGGTCTTATCATACTTTTTGGTGAGCGTGAGCGCTATAGCAGCGCATCTCGTTCCCAGGCCATCACGTGCTCCCCCGACGATTTGTGGTTGTGCTGAGTCAGCATGTTCGGAAAACGGGTAACCCAATCAGATTGCGGGATTTAAGTGACACGAAGGCGATCTGCCAACCGCATCTGCGCATGAGCAGCGCAACAGAATGGGAGCGCTTGACCAGGTAATACTATACCAGATTCCCTTTCACGCGGGAGAACGTGAGGGTCTGGGAACGACACTACGGTGCGAGCAGTTCCAATTTTCGCGCGTGTTTTGCGCATCACGTAGATTATTGCGCAGATAACGCCCACAACCCCGATGGATAGCATTCCCGCATTGAAATGACTTGGTAGGGTTTCTTCTCTCGCACAATTATATACTCCTCCATACACTCGAGCTAGTGCGCGACAGTGCACGACTTCCGACGATGAAGAGGAAGAAGATGAAGATGAGTCAGATGAAGAAGAGAAGAAAAGAGAGAAGAGGGATAAGGCAAAGAAAGATGCTGAAGAACCTGCAATACCTATTCCGAACAATAGGAATATCTAAACTAGTTTTGCCCTAGTGTGAATCACTATTGTGTACATGTGGGGTATATACGAATTCACCCAAACTACGTGTCACTTTTTGTGAATGTGTTTGTATGGGGCAGTTATTCAGAGGCTCCGTTTTAGAGGGTTTTAGTACCACAAAGTAGTTTGAGAGAAAGATAACTTTCCTAATGTGTCTACAAACAGAGGTCAAGCTGCCACTTGTGTCCTGCACACAAGATTGCACAACAACATATTCATACAATATATATATAATATATATATTATTATATATAATATTATATGGAGTCTTATGTACATAGCGTATATATACATAAGAATGAGAGATACAGAGGTGGAACGGAAGTGAGATCACTATAATGTAGTGTTAATTTGCTCTTGGTGTATAATACAGGGATCTCTCGGCACTACACCTTGTCCCTCCCTTCCTTCCTATATACTACTGTTTACTCCCTCCCTCACTTCCCCCTCTCTCTTTTCTTCCTGTATTATAGTCTCCCCAAGAATCGGTGAGTTGACTCAAGAATCATTATGGATATTTTAGTGTCACCTTTTGACAGTGGCGAATATTGATGTATGTGCCAACGAGGTATCGAGGGAGAAAGGCAAGGCAAAGCAAACAAGTCAACTAGCTACACCCAGGACAGCTCTTTCTTTTAAAGGAAAAAAGAAGAACTGCCTTAGGTAGGATTCAAATTCACGACACTCTGCAGTCTAGGCGAGGGCTCTAATATACCAACTGAGCTTCCAGGGCAACTCAGCTGGTATGGGTTCGAATCTACAACACAATCAACACAAAGGCAAACCTCAAACCACTGCGCTATGGCACAGTATACTCTCATTTATGCATGCAGCGTGCGTGCGCACTATAAAGCGGAGAGAAACGTCAAAAACCGCACACGATTCACTTGTCGTTTCTGCCTAGTGGTTTCGCCTATTTTACCAATGATCTTCCTAAAGATTGCGGCTGCTCTCGGTGTCCTGAGCCTGGCCAGGACCCAGGTCCCCTCATGCTCTAACTTCGTCTCCACGAAAGAATCGATCTGCTCCGAGATTTTCAGGCGATTGGAGAAACAGATTGTCGACTCGGACGCTAACCTCTATTCTCTACGCAAACTGTTTTATCCGACGTCACAGACGCAGCCCGCTCTGGTGAACGTCAGCTACGACCTCAAAGTTTCAGCGGTGCGCAACCGTTCGTGTTCCGGCGACCCCGAATCGTCGACCAACCCTCGCTACGACCGCTTGCCTGAAGCATTACGCAACTTTCTGAAGGTCCACGCATGGAGTTCAAAAATCTTCTACACCCTGTTCCATCCGGCGACCGTCAACAGACTCCAGCCGCAGTTGCTTCATGCGATACTGGCCGGATTCGACGGTATCTACACCACTAACTCGGTCCCGACTGCTCTAACCTGGCCTACAGTGGGACCCATACTTACTGTGGAGGTGGCAATAGACCTGCAGCTACCGTGCTGGCCTACATTCTGCGCACTCGAAGAAAGTTTAAATGATCTTACGTCCGTTGTAAGTCTAACTAGCTCGACCCAGTAGCTATATTGCGCATGAGGTCAATGCAGTGTGTTTCACCGCAATATCGTTTGCCCGTTTGCCTACTATAAAAATAATTATAATAGCTACCTACAAAGGGTAATTATAATGTATAAGTATAAAGGCACTCCAATATGCTATTGGTAGAGCTATGCCAAGAGAAGAGAGAGCATTTTCTGTACACTTTCCCAAGTTATGAATTCAAAATTCACCAATGAATATCTCCGACCCCATAGCTCAAGGTGTATGCAAACTCACAAGAGAATGTATCGTCTTGGGGAGCAGAGGAGAGGGGATATGCTTTACTAGGGAACGTCTTCATAGACCAGTGGTGGAAATACATTGCTATTGCATATCCAATCAGCAACTTTCTACCACTGGTGAACTTGATCCTGTCGGTTGTCCTTACTCTCATGATAAGCTTTGGAGTCTACTATGCCCTGTGGAACGTTGCTCCGGCAAACAGCGAGGAAAAGAACTTTTTGTTTAGTTACAGCGTCGTCTGGAGTGGTGTTGCCATTCTTACTCAAGTCAACTTTTTCCTTCTATACTTTGAAGGAAAAAGCAGAGATATGTGGTGTCGGTATGAAGGTAGTTGTGCCGAGTCAGCTGCAGAATGCAAAATTGGATGGATCAAGTGGATGTGCACTTACATGGTGGTTGCCTTTGTTGTTATTCTGGTGAGATTTCTCCAGGGAAAGACTCGACACCGTGAGATATTCATTCCCGAATGGCGTGCTTTTGTAATCTCGATACCGTTTTTCAGCACCTTCATTCTTCTTCTTGCCTTTTTCTACAAGTTTTTCTTGTGTCCTCTGCTAAAGGTCCGCAAAAATCGAAATGTATGGATCCATCTCCTTGAGACTCTTCGCTGGCTGATTCGCTGCCCAGGAGTCTTGAAGAGGGTTATCAGGAATTGCAATCGTTTTTTAGCCATCTACATCCTTTACATGACAGTATTTTTGTCAGCATCCATCCTGTCGTTTAGTGCAGTTCCCGTTCTTCTTCAAACCTTTATCTACCCGTTTAGGATGTTTGCTGCGTACAGTTTCATTTTTGTAGCCTTTGCTCTCTACTGTCTGGCTACGTTCATGGCCGTTTTCCTGTGGAAAGAGAAGCCACCCACAACAGGAAGACTCATCCTCTATCTCTCTTCAACCACCGTAACACTGGTGTTTATTCTGATTATCTCTATTCCTTTCGTTTCGCTCTATAAGCTCCTGGTTTCAGGGGGTTTCAGTGATAATCCTCTCATTCTGTTTGGAGTCTCAGTTCTGCCATCTCTCCTCCTCTCCTCTCCACTCGTGTGGCTATTCAAGTCCAAACTCTTGCCACGATTTCTGGAGGTTGACGAAGACGAAGATGAAGAGGATGAAGATGATGAGGAAAAGAATACAAAGAAGAAGAAGAGGGAGAAAGCCAGCGAATCTCTCAGAAGCTACTGATGACGCTAAACTTGAGATGGACACTCTCTGACTATACTTTGCTATTAGCTACAGTGTACAGTGTGTCATATAAATAGGTTTAGTGTAGCCGGAACACATTAATTTCAGGTATTTTTTGAACGCAATAGAGTTTAGACTACAGTTTATTTTAGAGTCCTATAATCAATTGCTATATCGGGGAAGTTATGGTGCATCCGGAATTCTTTGTGTGCCCTGCGCTGCTCCAACAACTGAAGTCGCGCAAAGGACCCTAAGTGCGACGCCCTCACGCGCATGCGCAATCCTACACCATCATCGATAATAATCTACGTACCTACAGGTAAAATGTTTCAACAAGTAACAGAAGTTATTATGGTGTTGTCATATCAGGTTGAGTAAGGCAGCTTGCGCATAGCTACGTAGCTAGTGAAACTAGACCAGAAGAAAGTAGCAACGGAAAGGTAATGTGCCCGCTCCGCCTCTCCATCTCTTAATCGTCGCTGAAAAGACGAGCCTCTCTGTCGTGAGGACTTTCGACGGCCGGGCATACATATAGAAAATTCGAGCCGAAGACATGATTCTCTGTCTGTTTTTCTTCGACGAAGAACACTATCCTCCGCGGATGAATCTATCTCCTTCGAAGCCAACTGGACGGACAGTAAGAGGATGGATAAAAAATTCCGCACAGTATGAGAAGCGCGTAATATTAATTAACGCATGCGCACTAAGACGACGTGTACGGTGCGTCGTATATTATAGATAGAAAATTCGTCAGAAGACACGACTAGGAGGGACTCGCTCCGCTCGCCCAATAACAGACTCCCTTCCACGCGGGAGAACGTGAGGGTCTGGGAACGAGACTACTGTGCGAGCAGTTCAAATTTTCGCGCGTGTTTTGCGCATCACGTAGATTATTGCGCATAATTATTACTTAGATAACGCCCCCAACCCCGATGGATAGCATTCTCGCATTGAAATAAAAATCACTATTGTGTACATGTGGGGTACGAATTCACCCAAACTACGTGTCACTTTTTGTGAATGTGTTTGTATGGGGCAGTTATTCAGAGGCTCCGTTTTTTAGGGTTTTAGTACCACAAAGTAGTTTGAGAGAAAGATAACTTTCCTAATGTGTCTACAAACAGAGGTCAAGCTGCCACCGCTTCTCTGTTACCTCAGTTCTACACTAGCTACTTGATTTTTTACCGCGTGTGCACACACACTATCATTCTATATAATGTTTGCACAACAACATATTCACATATAATTATAATTATATTATATATATTATATATATAATATGGAGTCTTATGTACATAGCGTATACATAAGAATGAGAGATAGAGGTGGAACGGAAGTGAGATCACTAATGTTGGTATAGTATAGATTGAGGAAAAGGGGGGAGATTTTACGGTGAAGGTTCAACTCAAGATCTCTCTAAAAATGAAATCAGTGGCTGCTATCTCTCGGCACTACTCCTTGTCCCGCCCTTCCTTCCTACTGATGTTTCCGCCCTCCCTCATTCCCCCTCTCTCTTTTCTCTGTATAGTCTCCCCAAGAATCAGTGGGTTGACTCAAGAATCATTATCAATATAATTATTATAGTGTCACCCTTTAATAATGTGTACTGTGTCAACAACGAGGTATCGAGGGAGAAAGGCAAAGCAAACAAGTCAATTAGCTACACCCAGGACAGCTCTTTCTTAGGAAAAAAGAAGAAGTGCCGTAGGTAGGATTCAAACTCGTTTCTACCAACTGAGCTCAACACAACACAAGGCAAACCTCAAACCACTGTGCTATGGCACAGTATACTCTCATTTAGTATGTGGGAGCAGAAATTAAGACGCCCAACTCCAAATATGCATGTCAACAACAATAAGTATTGCATCCGCCAGCTCCTTCGCGGCATGCAGCCCCGCCTACTATAGTGCGCGCGCACTATAAAGGGAAGAGAAACGCCCACAATTCACTTGTGCTTCTGCCTGGTGGTTTCGCCTATTTTCCCATGATCTTCCTAAAGATTGCGGCTGTTCTCAGTGTCCTGAGCCTGGCCAGGACCCAGGTCCCCTCATGCTCTAACTTCGTCTCCACGAAAGACTCGATCTGCTCCGAGATTTTCAGGCGATTGGAGAAACAGATTGTCGACTCGGACGCTAACCTCTATTCTCTCCGCAAAGTGTTTTATCCGACGTCACAGACGCAGCCCGCTCTGGTGAACGTCAGCTACGACCTCAATGTCTCGTCGGTGCGCAACCGTTCGTGTCCTGGGGACCCCGAATCGTCTACCAATCCTCGCTACGACCACTTACCTGGAGCATTTCGCAACTTTCTGAAGGTCCACGCATGGAGCTCCAAAATCTTCTACACCCTGTTTCATCCGGCGACCGTCAACAGACTCCAGCCGCAGTTGCTTCAAGCGATACTGGCCGGATTCGACGGTATCTACACCACTAACTCGGTCCCGACTGCTCTAACCTGGCCTACAGTGGGACCCATACTTACTGTGGATGTGGCAATAGACCTGCAGCTACCGTGCTGGCCTACATTCTACGCACTCGAAGGAAGTCTAAACGATCTTACGTCCGTTGTAAGTCTCAACCCAAGTATATAGCTATGTTGCTTGTGAGGTCAATGCAGTGGGTTTCACCGCAATATCGTTTGCCTCCTATAAAATATATAATGCTTAAAGGGTAATTGTAATGTAAAGTATAAAGGCATCCAGTATGCTATTGGTATAGCTACCAAGAGTAAAGAGAGCATTTCTGTACACCCTCCCAAGTTATGAATTCAGAATTCACCAATGAAAATTTCTCACCCCATATAGCTCAAGGTGTATGCAGACTCACAAGAGAATGTATCGTCATGGGGAGCAGAGGAGAGGGGATACGCTTTACTAGGGAACGTGTTCATAGACCAGTGGTGGAAATACATTGCTACTACATATCCATCCAGCAGCTTTCTACCACTGGTGAACTTGATCCTGTCGGTTGTCCTTACTCTCATGATCAGCTTTGGAGTCTACTATGCCCTGTGGAACGTTGCTCCGGCAAACAGCGAGGAAAAAAATTTTTTGTTTAGTTACTTACAGCATCGTCTGGAGTGGTGTGGCCATCCTTACTCAAGTCAACTTTTTCTTTCTACTCTTTGAAATAGAAAGCATAGATATCTGGTGTCGGTATGAAGGTAGTTGTGCTGAGTCAGCTGCAGAAACAAAATTGGATGGATCGTGTGGATGTGGACTTACATGGTGGTTGCCTTTGTTGTTATCCTAGTGCGGTTTCTCCAGGGAAAGACTCGACACCGTGAGATATTCATTCCCGAATGGCGTGCTTTTGTAGTCTCGATACCGTTTTTCAGCACCTTCATTCTTCTTCTTGCCTTTTTCTACAAGTTTTTCTTGAGTCCTCTGCTAAAGGTCCGCAAAAATCGAAATGTATGGATCCATCTCCTTGAGACTCTTCGCTGGCTGATTCCCTGCCCAGGAGTCTTGAAGAGGGTTATCAGGAATTGCAATCGTTTTTTAGCCATCTACATCCTTTACATGACAGTATTTTTGTCAGCATCCATCCTGTCGTTTAGTGCAGTTCCCGTTCTTCTTCAAACCTTTATCTACCCGTTTAGGATGTTTGCTGCATACAGTTTCATTTTTGTAGCCTTTGCTCTCTACTGTCTGGCTACGTTCATGGCCGTTTTCCTGTGGAAAGAGAAGCCACCCACAACAGGAAGACTCCTCCTCTATCTCTCTTCAACCACCATAACACTGGTGTTTATTCTGATTATCTCTATTCCTTTCGTTTCGCTCTATCAGCTACTGGTCTCAGGTGGTTTCAGTGATAATCCTCTCATTCTGTTTGGAGTCTCAGTTCTGCCATCTCTCCTCCTCTCCTCTCCACTCGTGTGGCTATTCAAGTCCAAACTCTTGCCACGATTTCTGGAGGTTGACGAAGACGAAGATGAAGAAGATGAAGATGATGAGGAAAAGAATACAAAGAAGAAGAGGAAGAGGGAGAAAGCCAGCGAATCTCTCAGAAGCTACTGATGACGCTAAACTTGAGATGGACACTCTCTGACTATACTTTGTTATTAGCTACAGTGTACAGTGTGTCATATAAATAGGTTTAGTGTAGCCGGAACACATTAATTTCAGGTATTTTTTGAACGCAATAGAGTTTAGACTACAGTTTATTTTAGAGTCCTATAATCAATTGCTATATCGGGGAAGTTATGGTGCATCCGGAATTCTTTGTGTGCCCTGCGCTGCTCCAACAACTGAAGTCGCGCAAAGGACCCTAAGTGCGACGCCCTCACGCGCGTTGTTTCAACAAGTAACAGAAGTTATTATGGTGTTGTCATATCAGGTTGAGTAAGGCAGCTTGCGCATACGTAACTAGTGAAACTAGACCAGAAGAAAGTAGCAACGGAAAGGTAATGTGCCCGCTCCGCCTCTCCATCTCTTAATCGTCGCTGAAAACGCCCCCGTGAGGACTTTCGACGGCCGGGCATACATATAGAAAATTCGAGCCGAAGACATGATTCTCTGTCTGTTTTTCTTCGACGAAGAACACTATCCTCCGCGGATGAATCTATCTCCTTCGAAGCCAACTGGACGGACAGTAAGAGGATGGATAAAAAATTCCGCACAGTATGAGAAGCGCGTAATATTAATTAACGCATGCGCACTAAGACGACGTGTACGGTGCGTCGTATATTATAGATAGAAAATTCGTCCGAAGACACGACTAGGAGGGACTCGCTCCGCTCGCCCAATAACAGACTCCCTTCCACGCGGGAGAACGTGAGGGTCTGGGAACGAGACTACTGTGCGAGCAGTTCAAATTTTCGCGCGTGTTTTGCGCATCACGTAGATTATTGCGCATAATTATTACTTAGATAACGCCCCCAACCCCGATGGATAGCATTCTCGCATTGAAATAAAAATCACTATTGTGTACATGTGGGGTACGAATTCACCAAACTACGTGTCACTTTT